GCCATATTTATGGCAGAAAACAATGAAAATGTTGGCATTCGCAAAGAGAAATATGTCATGTTTTTGGCATTTTCAGAAAAAGGCAGTTTTTAGGAAAAATGAATTTTTTTCACCGCCCGGAGGTGGTGGGCAGGGAGGTAGTACAAGCGGTGGGAAAGGCATCCATATTTTTTTAATTTTTTTATAGAGTTTTACTATTTTTATTAATTTTTTTAAAAAAATAAAAAATTTTAAAAAATATTATTTTTTTAATTTTTTATTTTATTAATATTTTATAAAAATTTTAATTATTTTTCTACGATTTTTTGAATTTTTTTCGAATTTATTAAGAATTAAACATTTAATTAAAAGTTGTTGGGGCTTGGGTAGAGGTGTACTTGTCCAAGCACTAAAGTTACTCCTACTCAAAACATGATACTCCTATTTTTGCATTTTGTTTATGTTTTGCTCCTATTTGGGGAATTCTCTCTATAAAATACCAACAATATTCATAATGATGTTTCTTATCATTATTTTTACTTTAATTCTTATCATTATTACTACACTGTCATTGTTTTTGTTCAGCTAATTATATACTCCCTCCGTTTCTGAAACAAGTTCCACCTTTCCTTTTCGGGAAGATTCAAAATTAAGTTCCACTTTCAAACATTTCCTTATTTGGCAAATTATCTACATCAAAACAGTGTCAAACAGTGTTCAAACAGTGTCAAACAGTGTTCAAACAGTGCCAAACAGTGCACTCCACAGTAAAGTCAAATTTATTTTCTTAATATGTGTGAAGTCAAATGTGGAACTTGTTTCAGAAACGGAGGGAGTATGTAGTTTTGAATCATTATTAAAAACTTAGATAATAAAGGGAAAAGGGGCAAAACTCGCTGTGAGGTTGTCATCAAAGGGCACTTATGCCTTTAAACTTCTTCAATTATTAAATAAATGCCAAATTTCACTTTCATGTTTGTCATTACATAACTTTGAATATTAATATATACTCCTCCTTCCGTTCCTAAATTATCTTTCAAAGTGGATTTTGCCAGGAATTAATAAAGTGAAAATTGTGTGGTGGAGAGTTGTACAGAATATAGGGTAATGTGTGAGATTGTGTAAAAATGTTGTGAATCATAAATTTTTTGTCAAAAAAGAAAAAAAAAGATTACTTTTGGATGGAAGAAAAAAGAAATTTGAAAGATAATTTTGGGACGAAGCAAGTATTATTCTCAATTAGTAAAAATAAAAAAATCGAATCAGAATTTGAAAATTTACAATGAGACAAATTTAAAAATATATTTTAAAAAATAATTTATTAATACATCAATAAATAAAGCATAATCAAAGTAGAGTATGCGAATAGCGTAAAATTCGACATATTGCACTTATTTAAAAACGGATGAAGTATGTCCTCATTTTGGAACCAAAACATTCTAGATTTACTTCTTTAAGAGAGTACTAGTTGAAATTAAAAGGAAAAATATCAAAGATACTACTCCATATTAGATTTAATTTGTTATACACGGCCATAGTAACCAAAGGAGCAAATTTAGTACTCCATCCGTCTCGAAAATGTTGACCAAATTTTCTTTTTTAGATGTCCCAAAAAGATTTGTCATTTCCATTTAAAGTAAGGAATATGTGGCTAAAATTAATTCTGCACAAATTTCAACCACACAGTTTTTTACTTTATTATTCCACGTGAAAGTTAACTTTGACCAACCTTTTCGAGATGGTGGAAGTATCAATTCCTATATCATACACCAGGGTGTACATGTACACCCGTTTTTTTGCAATTAATAGCAATGTTTAAGGATAATTAATTGGTTGAGTGTTGAATTGCTTTCTCTTTCCGACAGGCACTCACGTACATCATTCGCATAACTTTGCTTAGTGTACACTTTTTGTGTACACCTTTTGTGTGCACACGTCTGTCCTTTTCTCATTCGCATGTTCTCCATGCTTTCTTTTCTTTTGTTTATTTTTTTTTGTTTGTATGCATTTCTTCTTCTTCTTCTTTTTTTTCTTCTCCTTTTCTCTTTTGTCTTTTTTATTTTGATTTTTTCTTTTTCCTTTTCTTTTGATTTTGAACTTTAATTTTTCTAAGTTCAACTTTTCTTTTTCTTTTTTTGCTTGCTTTTTTCATTTTTCTTTTTATATATACTTTATCTCTTCTGACATTTTGAACTCCTACTTCTTTTTTATTTTTAAGTAATTTTTTATAAGAATATTTTTCATATAGTTCTTTCAAAAATTCATATCACACGTTATGTATTCACATTTAATATTTGAGCATAGTAGAGATTTTAAATGATCTTTCTGAATTTTTTGGTACTCATTTCTGAAGTATGTATAATCATTTAATATTGGTGTAATACTCATTTTAAGTATGAAAAAGTAAGAAAAAAAAACTAATAAGCCCCACAAAAAAGGCCCAGTTAAGAAAGACAATCCATTTAATTAAAACAACCTAATTTTTCCCGTTGGCATTTTTGTAATTTAAGCGAAAAATGAAGGCTCCCGCTAAATGAGCAACATTGTACTTTTAGTGAGCATATGACCTATTGAATTGAGTATTATGAGGCTAATAACAATCAGTATCACGATCTCTGGTTCATATCTTCTAATTTTTTCTTTTATAAAAACTTATTAAATTATATCTATAATCCAGTCGTATTAATTTCAATATGCAACTCTAATGTAATTTGATACTTTTGAAATATGCATTGATATGCCATTTTTAAAATGAGCATAACATCAGTACCAATTACCAAATGAGCATACATAACCTACAAACTGCACATTGGTATGAAAAACGTAAGATTTGTTGATTGAACGTCACGACATTTTAATTGAGCATCAAATCTCCGCTATTGAGATGAAAATTAGAGTTTTTAGTGAATGAGCATTAATGAACTTTTAATGAGCATCACAGCTATTATGTTGAGATATTCATAATCGTGATCTCTGCTTCATAACTTCTAATTCACTTTTTTGTTATTTTTTCTTTTCTAAAAATGTATTAAATTATATTTATAATCAACTCCTATGAATTTCAACATGTGAATCTAATGTAAAATAGTAAGTTTAAAAAATGCATTGATATGACATTTAGAAAATGAGCATAAGATTAATACAAGATGAGTATTCTTAACATACAAAATGCATATTGATATGAAAATCATAATGTTTGATAGTTGAACAACATGACATTTTCATTGAGCATCAAACATCATCTATTGAGATTGATGGATATCACAATTTCTGTTAAATCAATGCACGTTTCTTGTAAGGACTATACGTCTATACTCATAATTAACTTCTTTTAGTGCACATTTGCTTTATATATTACACTCATTTAAGTATAACATAAAACAAAACATTAATTTCTTAAATATACATCATAAATTAAAATCAATGAAAAAGATGGTTAAGAAAAAAGGAAAAAGAAATTAAAAACAAAGAGCTACTAAAAAACGAAAAGAAAAAGTCAGAGATGGAAGAGAGCATAAAAGAAGTCAGAGAATAAAGAGAGCATATGCGTAGTGGACTCAACTGACAGGGAAATAACAAAAAAGCACGTATGGGCGGATGAACTACAACCATGCAAATCATAAACAATTACAAAAATACCCGGATGTACGGTGAGGACCGTACATCCGGGTGTGCGGTATAATTTGCGAGGAAGTACTGTTGATGGATCGCCGGACCAGGGGTAGTCAGAATCCACGTAAAATGAGAGAGGGAATTGACCGGAAAACAAATGTGTATAATCCGACGGAGTAACAGTATGAGAATTGAGAATGTGATCCCTTTCCACAAACTCGAAGGTGATATTTATACTAAGAGAAAAAAGGCAATACTTGGTGTCCAAGTAAAAAGATGCTGAACTAATGACAAGAGGACACATGTAAAGCTATTCTAACAAACTACCAGTCTAATCTGATAGGGAGCAGCCACGTGTAAAGGTGATTGGAGAGATAGTCTTGGACAGCTAGCTGTTTAGAATCGCCTCTAACAAAACTGCTACCAGAATACCCGTGTGGTTAAGCGTGTGCATTCTGGCATATTATCCGTTGCTGGGAATGACGTGGCAACACCTCCTCGTGATGCTGGTCCTTGCAGATTTGTCTAAGTCCACAATGCTTTGGCCTGACCTTGAGCTTATCGAGGTCAGTAATCGGAGACTCAGGCTCATTGTGAGGGAATTCGCCTCTTGTCTATTATTCTGCCTTTGTGGTGGTTGTCTGCTTAACACTTGACTTTGGTTGTCCACATGTTTGACTTCCGAGGTCGGGCTTGGTGCTGAGCTCGGGCATTCGAGGTCGGGCTCATAACTCGCTGAGTTTGGCCCATTCCTGAGCCAGTTGCTTTCCCGACCTTGAGGATCGAGGTCGGGGTCAGATGACTTTTTGGTCCTTAGTCATTTTGCTGTATGGCGTTTATTCCTGACCTTGGTTGGTCGTGGTCGGTGCGGTTGTGGACTTAGTCTTTTCATGCACTTCGATATGGATCCGTGATGCTTTCTCACCGATGATACCCCTGGGATATACGGGAATATACTTATTACGTACTATGTAGTTGCCAAATTTGTTAATTGGTTCACCGTTACACAAGTGATTACCCTTTGGTGACTAATGTTTTTGGAAAATTCCTTTTGTAGGCGCCAAGTTTTACACGCCGGGTTACACGCCTGTCAAATTGTCTGTGTACAGACAATTTGATCGACTACACAGACATATTGAGCGGCGATTTACGAAGAAAACCGATTTTCACACAGACAAAAATAAAAAAAACTGTCTGTATCACAGACACTTTATTAAAAATTCAGGTTTAAAATGTCTGTGATACAGACAACTCTTGATATTTTGTCTGTATGAAAATCGATTTTCTTCATAAAACGCCGATCAAATTGACCGGCGTGTAATACGGCGTGTACACGAAGCGGGACTCAAAGTTTTTTTGCACAAAAAAAGTTTAAAGGTACCCTGCCCGACCTCTTTGTGAGTCGTTCCATCAATATTTCAACTGCTGTAGATTGCAAGGACCCCATCTCTACGCACTCCCTGCTGCAAGGCACTTTGCCCTGCTGGAGAGGATCCCAATCCCTCTAATTGCGTCGCCAATCAAAATCAAGCACCCAACTGAAAATCTCCTTCCATCCTCTAAAGCAAACGTTTCTTGGAATTGTTTCCATACTCAGAATGTGCTCTGTATAAAACCAACTAAACTTGAAATGGGAACTTCCCACCAACATTTTCCCGCGACCTCTCAACTGCAAGGGGACTGAATGTATATGCATTTCCCTTCTCCTTTGCTATTCTTGTAACAAGAGATTCTCCTTCATTCGGACCATTCCACCAACCTCCATTCTTACCTTAGAAAGCATTTAATGCGACATTTCTTTAAATTCTCATCACCCAAATCAGCATTGTGAAGGGCGAAGAATGAGTGTTTTGGGCTCGGCGGCGGGTTTGCCTGTCATTGCTTGCCTGATTCTTTTGATTCTCCATCATCCGCAGACTAGCATTCGTGTTCTTGCAGATGTTCGCACTGAGAGGATTGAAGGTAAACCATTAAGGGCCGGGTTTAGAATTAGAATGCTTTTCATGGAATTTAGCTAGGCTTTTATCCGATTCTTAGAATTATTTATCCGCTTCCGATCAATACTCTGCTTGTTGTTTATGAGTTTGGCAATTAGAGGTTATCATGCATTATCACCAAGTTTTTTTTTCAATTTTCCATTGGATTGAGTATTTGCACATCATTGTGTTAGTTTTGTGACTGCTGCCCTAAATCTAGTAGTTGTAGAAAAACTTTACTTTGATCATTTGACTTATTAGGTCATTCCATCATTTAACCTTTGCTCCTTTGACTAACAGTTCATTCACCATTTTGGTCCTTTGGCTTACATTTATTCTACTTTTGTTGCACCAATATGATTATTTAGTGGTCCTTTTATGTCTACTATTGTTGTTTTTGTTGTTCTCCGTGGAAAATAAAATAAATATTGTATGGGAACTCCGCCTTTGAACTTACAATTTCTTGATTTTTGGACCGTATCACATTATTTATATAGAAATTTAGTGGACCTAAACCCAGTAATACTGGTATTAGAAACCTTGACCTTAAACTTATCAGGAATAGCAAATTACTATAATACTCCATATTACTAAAACTATGATAATAATATTATAAGTGATACATTATTTATATATAGATCTGATTTGGCACACCCTTTTCCATCCAAAGGCGGGATATTAACAATTTAAAAAATGGGTCACAAAATCCAATTTGAATGAAAATTGGGGTGAAATTCCAAGTACTATTTATTTATGTATTACTCCGTATAATAAGTGGAATCTGCAAACTTCAATAACGAGAAAAGTTGTGATTCTTGTCAGCCAACATTGTCAATGCATTCTCAGTAATTAAACATATTTATCATATGGAGATTACCTTTGAGATATTTAGGGATCATTGTCATGCTTTCTTAATTGGTCTTTTTTATTTTAAAAAAACATTATTCTTTATTCCATATAGTAGCACTAATCAGGTTTGACATTCCACCTCTTGGATCTTTGAGAAGTGCCCTTTGAATACCCGTGGATTGTTTTAAATAAATTTAGGAAGCGCTGGTGATGTTCTTGAAGACAATCCTGTAGGAAGACTTAAAGTGTTTGTATACGAGCTGCCTAGCAAGTACAACAAGAAGCTCCTACAAAAGGATCCTAGATGCCTCTCCCACATGTTTGCTGCAGAGATTTACATGCACCGTTTCTTGCTGTCAAGCCCCGTTAGAACCATGAATCCGGATGAAGCTGATTGGTTCTATACCCCTGTATATCCCACCTGTGACCTCACACCAAATGGCTTGCCACTCCCCTTCAAGTCCCCAAGGGTCATGAGGAGTGCCATACAGCTCATCTCTGCAAAATGGCCATATTGGAACCGAACCGAAGGAGCTGATCATTTCTTTCTTGTTCCCCATGATTTTGGAGCCTGTTTCCATTATCAGGCAAGTACATTTTTTGCCCCATGTGATTCAAAGTATAAGCCAAATATGCTCATTAGCCGCCATGTAACTTCCTGAAATGAAAACTTTTACTGTTGAGACGTCCCTATGGTATAATGATTAATCACGAATACTCGTATAAATTTGTCAATATACTTACATTTTATAATTATAATCAAAACACCAAAGGTGTGTGACGCGCATTGTTCACCCGGTAGTTAAAGTTTTCTTTCTGGTGTATTATATGTATAATTAGTTAATATAACTTATGGGCTTTGATGCATTAAATCCCTGCTTTTTGCCACATGATTTTGGTTCATGGTGATTCTATTTTTAAAATTTCCCAATGCAGGAAGAGAAAGCTATAGAGAGGGGTATTCTTCCTTTGCTTCAGCGTGCTATTTTGGTTCAAACATTTGGACAAAGAAACCACGTTTGCTTGAGTGAGCGTTCAATCACCATCCCTCCATATGCACCACCTCAGAAGATGCAAACTCACTGGATTACCCCTGACACTCCAAGATCCATATTTGTGTACTTTCGCGGTTTATTTTATGATGTCAACAATGATCCTGAAGGTGGTTATTATGCAAGGTATATACTACATAGGCTTCCCATCCCCCTTATTCAGAACAATAAACCATTGTTGTAAAAAACTACGCCTAGCCCCTATTAATGCCCACCTAGGTGCCAGACTATTCTTTAGGGCTTGGTCGGTTGACTTGGTTCAGGGTATCTGAAGGAAGACAAGGAAGGATTGATTTTTATTTTTGAATCATTGGTACATTTAGCTGGTTGAAAATAAAGTGAAGATAAAAAACTATAGAGATATGTGTGATCTAACTAAACATACTGTTATTACTAGTTTAAAACTAATAAGTAGAAATGAATTAATAAGATAATAATAAATCCTCCTCTACCCTTCCCTTTTTAAATCCCTGAAGCATGCAAGACCTAAGGGCTTAAGTTTTTTCAGCTTAATCCCCACCTAATTCCATTTATACATTGCATCTCACTCTGATTAATCCTCGGGTAGATGCTAGTTCCTAGTCAACCCGATAATGGTTTTTTCAATATTGTTCATAATTCATAACTTGAGTATTATATTATCATCGCTAGTCACGAAAAGGCATTGCAATTTTGGAAAAGAAAAACATATTCCTCTTTCGTGTTCATGATCATGACTATAACGTAAGTTTCATCTCTAGTCCCTGAATTAATTTTTCCCATTTCTAGTGTACGACAATGAAGTTCTTGCTTTTTTAGTCTTCCCCATCGCTTATTAGATCAATTTCCGTATAGTTTCGGTTATTGATCTGAAAGATCAAAAGTGGCAAGAAACTCATTGTTGTGCACAAAAAGAAAAAATGTCCTAAAAGTCATTCGAGCAAAAATGGATCATTCTATATGCAAATTTATACACATTACTCGATTATCGTGTTTGATGTGTAGAGGAGCAAGGGCAGCAATATGGGAGAACTTCAAGAACAACCCACTCTTTGACATCTCAACTGACCACCCAACCACCTATTACGAAGACATGCAACGTTCCATCTTCTGTTTGTGCCCACTTGGATGGGCCCCATGGAGCCCAAGACTTGTGGAAAGTGTGGTGTTCGGGTGCATCCCCGTGATCATAGCCGACGAAATAGTCTTACCTTTTGCTGATGCCATTCCATGGGAAGACATAGGGGTTTTTGTGGATGAGAAAGACGTCCCGTACTTGGACACCATACTCACATCCATTCCTCCTGAAGTGATCTTGAAGAAGCAGAGATTTCTTGCAAATCCTTCGATGAAGAAGGCCATGCTGTTCCCTCAGCCCGCTGAACCCGGGGATGCGTTCCACCAGATCTTGAATGGGTTGGCTCGAAAGCTTCCTCATGACAGGAGCGTTTATCTGAGGCCGGGAGAAAAGATACTGAACTGGACAGCTGGACCTCCTGCTGACTTGAAACCTTGGTGACCTTGTAAATGTCTTTTTTTGTTTGTCAGTGATCATTAGATCATACTGAATGTTGATGGGTAGAAGAATGTAAGTCCAGTTTGACACGAATACATTTTTCCATCAACAATATTTTGCTCTTCTGTTGCTGTCAATGTTCACACTATATGTTGCCTTAATTCGACAAGAAATAATACCTTGACAAGTAATTAATCCTTGGCAAAAGAAAAGAGTTTGAAGTTAAGAAACAAAAAGAGAAGTTTGGAGAATAAATAACTGATACTGAGAATAGAAGTGAGATTGGAAGGAGAAGAGTAGGAATTAGAAGAGTTTGGAAGAATAAGTTCTCTGAGAAATGTTGCAAGGGGGATATTGTGGATATTCCCTTTTAATGGGTTTTCATTTGCCCCCTTGGAATGTACAACTTAAATTATTGTATACATTTTGCAGATAGGGGTGGACAGAACCGGGCCGTGAACTGGACCGGCCCCCTACTGTGCGGGCCCGGACCGGACCGGGTCCGGATGGCCGGTTCCAGGCTTTAGCCCGGGTTGGGCAGGCCTGGCGGGCAGGGCTCGGGCCCTGTTTTTCTTAAACCGGCCCGGTTCATTTTTTTTGTTTTTTCAATTTTTTTTCTTTTCCTTGGGTAGGGTTGGGTGTTTTGGGGAGGTTTGAGGGGTGGGGGTGAAGGGGGCGGGGTCGGGGTTAATTAGAAAGCAAAAAAATATATACATTGGACCAGACCGGCCCGGACCGGTTTGGCCCGGGACCCGTCCCGGCCCGGATCGGTTTGGCCAGGAACCCGGGCCGGTTCTGGGCTCAACATCTGAAAAAAAAGCCCGGCTTGAACCGCCCGGCCCGGGCCCGGTCCATGCCTATTTGCAGACAAAATAATATTGATAATTCCTTCCCTGTATCACCACTCTTCATATATTCCTACACTTGCTACTAATACAGAGTATTACTTACCCCCATAGGTGAACAACATTACTCTAGACTTACTCGAAGATTTGTAACAATAGTAAAATAATTTTAGATATTCATAGGAATACCCCTCCACTCCTATATACTCCATATGATAGGTTAGAATTATACGAAATATTTAATTATTCCCATTAAATTTGTTTTTATGACTTTATGAAGGATCATCATTTGTGTCAGAGGCTTTTATGGGTAATGAATGTCATCAAACAATGAAATACTACCTCCGTCCCAAAAAATATTGTCATTTTCAAAACTTTGACCGACTATATCTTTTTATTAAAAATTATTTATAATATAAAAATTATATGAAAATGTTCTTTGTTAAAATTACTTCCATAAAAGTATAAAATTTATAATTTCCATAATATTATACTAATCAAAATCAATGTTCAAATTTTTTGAAATGACAAAGTTTTTTGGGACGGAGGTAGAATTAGGAAGATTGGATTTATTCGTGATTTTGATTAATTTGAAGTTTGAAGTCAAGATTGGAGTAATTAATAATTAATAACCACAGAAATAATGCTTCTTCGAGCAACCCTTTGCTGTCATGGATGTCCCTCACGTAGCAGCGTAGGGTTTGGTTCTCCGATGATTTCTTCGTGTGGCCTGATTTTGTTTTTCGCTTTGTGAGGATTTCGGCAAGAACAAGCATGAGAGTTTTCTCCGAGTTCTCGAACGAACACATCAGTTACCCATGACAACAATGGAGGTTTTGATACATGTCTATCAAGGATAGTCAAATAAGATTATAATTAATTTTTAATGATGAATTGGAAAAGATGATGAAAATGACCGATTTAACTACTTTCATATAATTTCTTCTTTATTTATCAATAAATGTTGATAAATAAAGAAGAAATTATATGGAAAAAGTTTTAAAATATTATTGAGAAAAGGGATGATCCTGTCCAACCAGATAGACAGGACCCTCCGTCCCGCAACTTGGGGTGATTTTCGGTGGAAGTTTTTGACGATTTTTTTTGTCAAGTCTAGTTTATCTACATCAAATTTCAGTTTACAATTCAATCGGGAAGACAGTCAAATAAATTTTTGAAGATACTACGCTCAAAAATACATATTAAACGCAGTTATTTTCACAAATTTAATTGACTTACTTTCTCATTGAATTTTAAGCTGAAATTTGGTGTAAATAAACTATATTTGATGAAGAACATATTCAGAAAAATTCATCGAAACATTTCACCGGAAACAGTCCCAAACAGTGGAGGCCGGAAGGAGCATCCTATCGGGAAGGATGTATATGATCTTTTTTCTTATTGATAAATAATCATTACTTATTTGATAATCATTATTTTGAAAGTGATCTACTTCGATAAGAGTTTGATCAGAATCAATCAATTTAGCCCAGTTAGACTGTAGTATTTTTAGAGATCTCAAATACTACAATGTGTAAGGTCCACACGTGACATGAGAAAGATAGACACAAAAGGTTGAAGTCACTGGCTCAGGCAATGCAATTGCCTAGGCCCTCAAATTTTGTGGGGCCTCAAAAAATATTTATTACTATGTATTACTACCTCCGTCCCACTATGTTTGGGACAAAGGAGTGTGGCACAACTTTTAAGAAAAAATGAAATTGTGTGGTTGGTATTCAATTGATAAAATGTGAATAAAAGTAAGAATGAATTGTAACCATCCAAATATTACCAGATATGGTATGTGACAAACATAGTGGGACAGACGAAAAAGGTAAAACGAGACAAAGTTAGGGGGACGAAAGAAGTAATGTTTAGTAAATGAAAATGGATTGCAGGACTTTCCATTCATAATCCGTATGGGTACCGACCCAGGGATGGATTTAAGGGGAGACGCGGGGTGCGACCGCCCCCCTTGGACTTTCAAATTTTTCAACTATATATGTAATGTTTTTGTAAAATTTTGATACTTTAATTAGATTCGCTCCCCTTAACTTCTTTTGAACATTGCCCGCCTTAACTTTTAGTTTTTAAAATTAATATATAATCTTACATAATGTAATACTTAATTTAAGATTTAAAAGAAGGAACATCTAAAATCATTTACATAACTTAAATAAACAATAGAACGACTCATTATTTAAGATTTAGGATACTTATTATATAAAAATTATTAGTTTTGTTAATTATCTTTATTAGATAACTAGTAAACAATTTTGAAAAATATATATTAAATGATATTAAATACCAGACACTCTAGCTACAAAGTTTTTAGATCATGTGAAGTGAATCCAAATTATAAATGTTTATTGACATTAAATTACACAATTCATTTACTTCTTACGTTCTAAAAAGGCTTTATTCCATATATAAAAAACTTTAAGTATTTTAGCATTAATACAAATATAATATGCAATTTATATGAATTAGCAATATAATATTATTCTAAAAATAATAATATCATACACCCTCCATGGTAGACAAAAATTGTAATTCAAAAATCAATTCTTTATTTCTATAAGACTCATGTAGTTATACAATGTTGAAGTTATTTTAAAAGTATTGATGAATGTGTACCTTACAAACTCTTTATATTTAAATAAAATGTTATATATCCTTTTTTATTTTTATATCATTTTCCTTTGATTTGCTAAAATTAGAATGTAATGTATAGATTAAAATATCGTCATACATGTATTAATGATTTTTTTGAATTAAAATAGCCGCAGAGCCTTACACTAGTGAAAAATTTCGCCCCGCTACACTAGCAAAATATTCGCCCCGCTACACTAGTGAATTTTTTTATCTCCTACACAAACGAAAATTTTCGCCCCCTTGACTCAAAATCCTGTATTCGTCCCTCTAATAACCAACTCATTCATATACTTCACCTACTCCGTAATTCTTAGTATACTTTATGACTTTTTGTGATCAATTTTTTGTATAACTAATTATGAATATGTTTTGCATTCTTTATACGTGTTTAGTTAAGATATTATCTTTTGCATTTGATTTAAATCTCATTTTCTCATATTCGTTTGATTAGTTAATTTTGTCACTAATCATGTATAACTGTATCTGCGAATTTTAGCGTTTTATGTTGACATATATTTGTTTATGAATTTTCTACTATGTAATATACTACCTCCGTTCCGGTGGACTTTGCCGGCCAAGTGCAAAGTAGGTGAGAAATAAGAATATTAAAAATCGTGTGGTTGAGATTTGTGCAGAGGAGCGAGAAATGTGCAGAATCACAAATTAGTTACTTTAATAGTTAAGTGGCAAAGTTTTTTGGGACAACTAAAAAGGGAAAGTTGGCAAAGTCCAATGGGACGGAGAGAGTATATGAATATGTAGGTATTAAGCCTGTTTGGTGACCTTATTTTTCTGCTTATCAGATTTACCAACCAACTTTTCACCAACCTCATAATTTTTTATTTCACGTGATGGAGATGCGTATTAATCAAAATAAGTTTGGTTGGAGTTATTTTTCTGACTCAATTGATTGAAGTTATTGTAGAGGATAATTTGAGTTATGATTTTTATATAATTATTTCTTTGTTTTACTCATAAAATATTTTTTATTTTTTTCATAATTGAGTAGAAAAACCAACTCAGCCACTTATTTGAGTACGTAGATTTCATAAATTTGAGTACGTAGATTCAATAGCTTCAGTCAATCATTGTTATCAAGCGCTGCACGGTTATACGATGAGTAAATAAAAAAGGTACAATGGATAAGAATAATTCTAACTATTAGTGATCTGAAATAATCTAAAACATCAATTATCTCAAAATACTTCCAAACTATTGAAAAATATTCTCAAAATGCTCCACTAACCCATAAATATGTAAAATCATTTATGGGTTATTATAAGTGACTGGAGTATTTTAGGCAACTTTTTTAAATAGTTGAGATTATTTCGACAAAATTGATACTTTGGATTATTTCAAGCGGTTCACCAATAGTTGAAATAGTTTTTATCCATTTTTCCAATAAAAAATTTACTCAACATATTTGTAAATGTTAAGCCTTTTCCGTCTAGAGCCTCTAAAATGCTATAATCGGCCCTGGTTGAGGTTATGACATTTCCCTCTTTCTTTTCACAGTCTTATGTGTCTTTAATAAGTTTTTCTTTACAATTCAAACCACAATGTCTACATCTAGACATTGTGTTTGATATTGTAAAGAAAAATTTACCATAAACATATAAGACTATTTAAATAAGGAGATAATTGTTCTTTTTTGTTTTTTTAATTGATTATATCCAATGAAATGTATGCATCGTTCACGTTTTTGGATTGAAGATGTTGGTCGCGTCTCCAAGTATTCATATGAAATTTTATCATGTAAATGAATGTAAAACATGGTCAACTTGTTCCTTCGTCCTTATCTGATCCAACAACATTGACCCACCTACCATGACTTTTCTCATGTTTAAATAAAACCAAAACGTTATTAACAAGGTATACCACCATACCGGCCGTTGAAACAATTGAAACGAAACTCGGGCGAAAAATCTGAGAGCTTTACTTTGGAAATGGCGACTGTTTCCAAGCTCTCCAATCCAACCCTTGCATATTCATCATCAACATCTAGAAGATCACCCAACGCCCCTTTATGCTTCGTGGATCTCCGAAGTAGACCCTCTTCCGGCGCCCGAATTTCATCCTCTAAGAAGTTGACCTGGCCCAACCCTTATTTTAAGGGATCCCTCGTGTAAGTTTTGAAAATGAGAAATGTTAGATGTTCATGCTGAGTATATGGATCCGTGTCACTCTAATTTCGGGTTCTCTTCTCCTGAAAAGTTGTAGGCTTTCTGAATTATGATGATATCTTGTTGATCTTGCTGTTGTGTCTTAGTTTATTCAATCTTGTTAGTGTATTCCCTTGGGAGTCGTCTTGAGGACTTTGGAGGCGACAAACAAAATATCATATTAAAATCATAAAAAATCATATGAAAAAATCATAATGTGAACGTCCAAAGGAAAAATTTCAAAAACTATCTCAACTTATTCTTTCTTTTTGTACTAATATATAATACAAAAATCATAAACAATAAATTAACAAAAACCAAGAATCTATAAATAAAAATTACGAATCAAAGAAAATAAATAATTTAGTAATACCAATGCCATCACATTAATTATATCATGCATATATCATACGACTTATAATCTAATCCATACAATACCAATTTGTTTTAACAGCAATATTAACCCAACAATTTTTAAATTATAACTATTTGTCATACATTCAACATATTAAATATTTAACTTTACACCTTTACTCCTTTAGTAGACATTATTTCATCGTAGTCACACTAAAACAATTGTAGTACTAAAAAGTTAAAATCCTTATTACCTTATTTAGACATCTACACGTGACACGTCGCTGCCTTCTGGATGCGTAGAAGATAATTTTCCTATTCAAGTTTCCAATTATTAAGTAATTATACATAATACTAATAGTAATAGCTTTGATTTTGGAGGCCCCTGGCATGTGAGGCCCAAGGCTGTTGCCTGGGCTAACTCCCCCCAAAGCCTCATCTGTTCCCTGGGTAATTTCCGTGTAATCCTTTGTTGATGATCTCCGAAGGTTTCTCCAGCTTGTTCATCTATTCTTAATCCTTTCATGAAAAGTTTGATGTATTGTAATTGAAAGATCATATGTTTTAAGTGAAGTTACTAAAAATGGCAAGGATTGAATACTCAAATGGTTATTCACTCATTCTTCAATGGCTATGATTCTCTATTGCTTGTAGGATGGAACTAGAAAAGCTGGATTTATAAAAAAAGTTGTCGATGTTTGCTGTTTTCTCTTTTCATATTTACCAACTTATAAACTCATTAGGCGTAGCCACTTTTCTGTATAAGATTCTATCTTTGATCTTAAAGAAAAAAAATCAAGACATTGGTTTGTTGGTTGTTTGGAATGAATATTTGATCTTGTGTGTTGTTATTCACTCATGTTATCTGAGGCTATTAAGGATTCTTAAAACTGATTATGTTCAAATTTCAGTGTTAGGTGCTCTCAATCCGTAGGAAATAGAATCCCAATCAAGAGAACAAGTCTACATGATCTATATGAGAAGCAAGGGCAGAGCCCATGGTACGATAACCTGTGTCGGCCTGTTACTGATCTAATTCCATTGATTGAGAGCGGTGTAAGAGGTGTTACCAGCAATCCAGCGGTAAAATGCTTCCTCAGTGATTATTTTGACCCAAATTTCCCCTCTTTTCATTAAGTACCCCCCACATTAAAGACATATCAAACTTTTCTTCATGATTGGTGATTATTAATAAGTAGTTTGATTTTTTGATAAGTGGTCTTCAGGATTTGGTGATTTATTCTAATAAGTAGTTTGATTTTTTTATAAGTAGAAGTAAAAATGATTTATTCCATATCGTTCTAATTCCTTTGTTCTTTTTGCTGTGTGCTCAGATTAAAAGCTAACTAATAGTAGTTTTCTAATATGTTGTATGCAGATATTCCAGAAGGCTATATCTACTTCAAGTGCCTACAATGACCAATTCTGGTAAATTAGTTTAGGGCTCGTTTTGTAAGAGTTATTTGGCTGAATCCTGATTTTGTTAGACAAAATAAGAGTCAAAAGCTATTTCATCTTCATAATCAGATTAATGCTACCAATTGTGACTCTCCTCCTTAGTGTATCGAGGAATTTCGTTCTTTCCCAAACGTTAGCGTCAAGTCAAAGTCCTACAACAGTACAATGAAGCATTAACTAGTTAAACTCTTTCATAAACTGATCTTCACATTGCACTCATCAGGGAACTAGTACAAGCTGGGAAAGATATTAAAAGCCTGTATTGGGAACTTGTGGTAAAAGACATCCAAGATGCGTGCAAACTCTTTGAGCAGATTTATGATGAAACAGATGCAGGGGATGGCTATGTCTCAGTTGAAGTATCACCTCTACTGGCTGATGATACTGAAGGTACTGTTGAGGCTGCAAAGCGGCTTCACAAAAAGGTTGACAGGCGTAATGTCTACATTAAAATTCCTGCTACAGCCCCATGCATTCCTTCCATCAAGGAAGTCATTGCAAATGGAATCAGTGTCAATGTAACGGTGCGTTTTATTTATTGTTTATCTATTTTTCTAATCAAAATTGCAGCTTCTTTTGACATTTGTAGAGATATATACATTTTAGAGCATAACATTTTGACAAAGCTCAACATATGGCATCAGTGTCAATGCATTGTTGCATTTATTTATTCTTCTATCTCTTTTTCAAATCAAAATTGCAGCTTCCTTTTGACATTCGTAGAGATATTTACATTTTAGAGCAAAACATTTTTGACAGATCTCAACATATGTTTTCTTTAAATTCCCAAATGTTTGAACTACTCTGCAAAGAAAATTCCTCATCTCACGATTCGACTTGTTAAGACTTGCAAAATTTTATACTATGATCAACTCAAAGTATTTAGAAGCTAGACATTTGAACATTTAGTGGGCTCTTCTCTCTGTTTTTCTGTTTGTTTTTGCTTTGTTTTCATAATTATTGCAATGAGCTGCCCCCCTGATAACCTTACACAGAGTAAAAGAAGAATAAATAAAGCAAAATAAAAAAAATCAGTGGAGCCCAAATATTTCAATATTTATGAAGGTTCTTTGTGTTTGAGTTCTTGTTCTTCCATAAATGTGACTTGGTGTATTATGTCAAATGTTTAAAAAGCAAATCCTCCTTGTCTCGTTTTTTCCTTTTACATTGTTGACTTGTGCACTGATGCTACTTCCCTACATATGCACAGCTCATATTCTCACTCGCAAGATATGAAGCCGTCATTGATGCTTACCTGGATGGTCTTGAGGCTTCTGGCCTTGATGACCTCTCCAAAGTTACAAGTGTTGCTTCCTTTTTCGTTAGTCGTGTAGACACACTCGTTGATAAGATGCTGGAGAAAATTGGAACACCAGAGGCTCTTGATCTTCGTGGGAAGGTAAATTAACAGAGTGGATTTAAGATATTAATTCCAAGGTTGGAGCCACACAATTTTATTGACTTCATTATTTACTTACATTACAGGCTGCAAATGCTCAAGCTGCTTTGGCTTTCCAGCTGTATCAGAAGAAATTTTCTGGTCCAAGATGGGAGGCTCTGGTGAAGAAAGGTGCTAAAAAGCAGAGACTGCTTTGGGCATCAACCAGCGTCAAGAATCCAGCCTATTCCGACACTTTGTATGTGGATCCTCTCATTGGACCAGACACGGTGAGTTAGTCTGTCTGTCTGTCTGTCACTGTTAATCACCCACGTCAAATATATATACAAATTCGCCTTTAGGCTTGGACACGGACTGGTTTGTTTTCAGTCTTCGGTTTTGGAAACGGGAGAATCGGGTCCTGTTGGGCTCTCCAGTGGTTCCGGTTTTGAGCTGTTTTTTAATTACTTTCGTACGTAAGAATAAAAAAGACCTGCATTAGGAACAGCCAGTTGAGGAACCATAATCAATTTGTTGTGGACTTGGTGTTCAGTTTCCCGTTCTCCCTTTTCCAGTGCTGGTTCCCAGATGTGAACTGAAACATTGTCCACCCTTAGTCGAAAGTCTCACAAATATTCCAAAATGAATGGTATGATTGTTCTCATTTTGTCCTTTTTCTTTCCCCTCCCCCCTTGAATATATAGGTTTCAACCATGCCTGATCAAGCTCTTCTTGCATTTATCGATCACGGTTCCGTTGCAAGGACAATCGACTCAAATGTGTCTGAGGCAGAGGGAATTTACAGCGCCGTTGAGAAGTTGGGGGTTGACTGGAAGTATGTTGGCGATAAACTTGAAGTTGAAGGTGTGGACTCCTTCAAGAAGAGTTTTGATAGCTTGCTTGATAGTTTGCAGGAGAAGGCTAACTCCATCAAGCCAGTTTCCCTGTAAAAATTTCCTGTAAAACACACAATTTTAGTTTTACCCAGCAGAAGGCTTGAACTTAGTCCTAAGAATAAATAGCAATTCTAGCTGGATTTGAATTTTGAAGAGTGAGCCTTTTTAATGTATAAAACTATAAATAAGTAGCATGATGATTGATGAGTTTGATCTCGGAAACAAATTACTCTCTGCTGGACCTATGTGCATTCGAATTAAATATATTTCCATCTTTCACATAATTGTCATAATCTGATAAATTTTGCTTTAGAGATAGAAGAATAAATGAGAACTGAATGGTTTTGAAGTTCCTGGAGGAAAATCAGCCATGCCACACGAGAACATACTTATATGGGTTTAGAGAACATTAACCGGTGGAATTGTAAATCATACGCCGTATTGGTATTAGTTATTGAGAAATTTATTTATATAGGAATAAAATATATACAAAATGTATAAGTAATAGAAATAATGGCGTAAGTATTACATATAGAGTTTTAAAAGACAAAATATGACTAAATTGGGATTAGACAAAAAAGTGATTAAAAACAATCCGCCCAGCAATACTCCGGTCCAGAGCTCCTATGCGCCTTCTAGCCTTCTGGCTTCACGATCGTCTTCTCCGCTCCAAAGCTCCGATGCAAAAATACAGAGCCACAGTCACAGCCGCCGTGAGAGAGAGCCACCAACGTCGATTCCGCCGCCGTCGCTGCACCTCTCCTCACTCTTCTTCTTGACTTCTTCTCTCTTCTTCTCGTCTGCAACCCGATGGAATGAGAGCTACCCCAGCCTACCTCGCCGCACAGGATGCCGCCTAGCCTCACCTCGTCTTGGCATGCCACGCCTCCTTTCACCTCGTCTATCACATCTTTAATGGCGAGCAGAAAGCGGAAAGATTTGGGGAAGGGCGGCGGCTAGGGTTTATTTGCAGGTGGTCAGGGATAGGTTGGGCTGTCAAAGGTGGGGCTAGGAGGGGAGGATTGGGGCTGGTTAGGGTGGTTGGAGTTGATGTGCTGCAGTATTGAGTGGCCAGAGGGCTAGATCTGAGCTGGGTTGGTAGGGGGCTCGAGCTGGGGTAGGGACAGGGGTGATGCAAGGTTGGTTGTGGGTGATCCGGATCGAACAGCTAGGGTTCAGTTCGTTGGGGGTACTGTGATGGCTTGGGGTGGGATTTGGTCCACGGGAAGGAAGGTATGGAGGAGGCTGGTAGAGGGATGGGGAGGGGGCCTGGTATGCTGGGGAGGGGGCTGGTAGGATAGGGAGAGAGGCTGGTGGGTTGGGGAGGGGGCTGGTGGGGTGGGGAGGGAGCGAGTATGGGGGTTGGGGAGGCGACAATGGTGGTGCTCTTGGCGTGGGGGCCAAATTTGGTTGAAATTTACGTTTTCGGTAATCATAGTGACATTGGTGGCGGCAATGACACCAGCGGTGGAGGTGTCACTGTGGTCAGAGGTTGGATCGGAGATGATTAACGACACAGTGACATGTTTGACGGCGGCAAAATCACACGTTTGAAGGCGGCACAGTGACACAATTGACGGCGGAAGTGACATAAAAACCGGCACTGACATTCAAAAGTGACATAAAATTAGTGACATAAAAAAATAGTGACATAAAAGTCCGGCACAACTATGTTCTTCCAAATATATGACCTCTTTGGTCACATTTTTGTCCTTTTGTAAAAGTGGTCACATTTTTGGAAATAGACTCTACATTAGTAATATTCATGTAAAAAGTCCTAAGTAATATCACTATTAATTTCACCTTAAAAGAGGACTTATTGGCCTTGTTTGACAATCGACCGTTAGCGGATCGTGATAACGGTTTCATTAGATAAACCCAATAAGTTATCTTTTGGACAATTTCTTATTATCTCATTCCAACATTGGGGATACTTATCTGATATAAATTACTCCGTAAAACGGTAAATACTATAGTATATAGATATCTAGATGGATAAAGAACAACTTGAGAAAATTTGACTTGCTCAAGAACAACTCTATGAATATGGTTGTACAATATAAGTTAATTACACTCATGATACGGGATATCTTGAATTACAAAAATCAACTCATTCGCAAGAGAATGAGAGATTTCACCAATATTGCATACAACAACAATAATAACATAGAAAAGCCTTAATACCAAAAAAATTTGGAGTATAATTTTTTTTGGATAATATATAAATCTCAAGATCCAAATAAAAGTAAGGTTAAATTTATTTTTAGTTTTTCATTCTTTAAGAATTTTACTATTTAAATTGTGGGGATTTGTGGGTGTTGTTTTTTTTAAAAGCTTATATATGTATCCGTTACGGTACGAGTATCCTAAGTTTTAAAATAATTATAGAAAAAAATTGGAACTTTTAAAAATTACAATACGGCTCGGGAACTTACAGTACGAGTATCTTAGAGTATCAGATACATGAACGTTTCTGATACTAGATACGGTACCCTAGTAAAGTATCTGTGCCACATATATAATTATTTATATATGTCTTTGTAATTAACGTCTTTTTCCATGGATAGTACTAAATTAAATTTAAAAGACAAAAATATGACTTATTTTAAAATTTTCCAAAAAAATGACTAGTTATCAGTGACTTATCATTCTACAATAATATAATGTCCAGTTACTCGTACTCATTAACTAATCATATTTTTGTTCGAAAAGATAACTAGGCATATTTTTGTTGGGCGAAACTCTATTAGTAATATAATTTCATTTATCTTTTCTGTAATTATTTAATTTATCTTTTGCCTTTAGAAGTACTTTACAAAATGAATATATCAATAGTTGCTTGCTAGTAAAAACTGGATTCACAAGGTAAAAACATGTTAGGAAAAATACCGGTGGGCGCAGCTCAACCGGTAGCAAGGGAGTGACACAAGGATTAGGTCTCGGGTTCGAATCTCAACAACTGCGATGAGAGGTTACTGTGCTAAAAATGCATAGGACCTTTGCAAGTACCGAAAACAGAACCTTACTTTCTATCTTAGATTGTGATTATAGTCCAATTTATATCCTTCCATCCTCTCAACTTACCGTCCTTCATCCTTTTTTTATGCTAGGAAAAATACAATTTTGTATCTCTGCCAGCGAATTTTATATCAATAGTTATTTACATGTTAGGTAATATGTAAATAACCTGAACAAACTATTTTTTCATCGTCTATGAACATCATCAACAAACGGTTTTTTGGTTCCATCTTGCCTCTAAGCATTCTCTCTGCCAGCGAACAATCAGCCAATTTTCCATGCGCCACACTCTTCAAACTTACGTGGACTAACTGTTACCTCTATTCGGCGCTAGTAGCGGTGAAGTTCATGGCGGCGACTGCAGCCGCATCATCCATTTCTGTAGCCGGACCGCCTCCAAAGTCTTTCTCCCAAAAGACTTCTCTTTTTTCTTCTTCAGAACCAGCGGTACTTCTTTTACATTCAAATCTCACGCTTCAATAGTATTTTTCCTTTATCAATGGACTCCGTGCCTCCTCTCCTCACGAGAACTTGGGCTATTAACTTACTTAATCAATTTGCTCATCTAATAGACCGGAAGAAGGAGAATCCCCGTACCCAGATTCTCAATTGGAGAACATGGTAGGGAGCCCTGTATCCCAGAGTTATGCTCTGTGCCTGGTTTGTCTTCGTTATTTGTCTATGGGTATCTTTTTCTTGCTTTACTTTATCCGTTTAGCTTATTCCTAATTTTGATTTGAATAATGCCCCCGCTTGCATTTACATTTCAAGATAAAAGTGGGAGCTTGGATTGTTGTCTCAACCCGTCTCCCATGGGTCGAAGAGAGCTATTTTGGTCGTCCATTGGGATGTTTGCAACAGCTGTATACACTTCTAGAAGCAATGGAGCTGCATTAGCATCTCAATTCGCTGACAGTAACTCCAATTCCTACTTTCGAATTTATATGTCTTAATTTTGGCTCACCTTTGAAAGCCACTACAATTACTAATATTTGAGGAATGAGGGAAAACAGCAAAGAAATTCAGAATAGCATTCAGGCATTCACTTTTCCTTCTTTAAAGGCATGCAATGGCTGTGATTCATTAGTCTGGCACTACATTGTGCTTTTTGTTTACTAGATTTTTGTGATGATTTTACTGAATGGAGTTAACAAATGAATTCAAATGGCATAATTACTGACTGAATACATGCGCGCGCACACACATATGTGCACAAAACCGATCAAAACTAACACCGATGAAACAGACCAAACTTAGTGGTTCGGTTCATGGTTTGATGTTTGCCCATAAAAACTGATTACATCAATCAAAACCGACTTAAGTTGACCGAAACATTCCAAAGCGACCGAAATAACCGGAAAAAAATAGACCAAAACCAACTAAAGGTATTCGGTTTGCTTCTTGGCCTTAAATTATCACCCCTGTACATACCTAAATATGTGTGCCTGTGTGTATTACTTGATAGTATGTGTGCCTAGATTAGCTTTAAAATCCCATCTATTGTTCCCTTATGAACATCCAGTGCCAGCATTGCGGGGAAAGGACTATGGGAAATCAAAGATGCATTACCCTGACTACACAGAAACAAGTTCAGGTCTCCAGTACAAGGTCACCTGTTTTGAAGCATAACTATGTTCTAGCCTAAGATGTTTATTTGTGTGGCAAGAAATTAACTTGACTCATGTGTGTAAAAGCGTGCAGGATTTGAAAGTTGGAAGTGGCCCCAATCCTAAGATGGGAGATATAGTGGTGGTAAGCTGGTAATGTATACTTATATACGAAGTAGCTCACATAGTACCCTTTGGCCTTTTTGTGTTTCACTGTGGTTATCCAATCATATCAAGCGGCACACTTAGTGCTTTGTTTGATTCTTAGAAACTCACTTTCTATAGAAAATCTAGTTTTTTGTTGAAAGATAAGTTGAAACATATGCATAATATAATGAACTCATAGAAACAGCAAAAATGAAGGCAATTCAGAAAAAGAGGAAGCCGTTTTCTACAGAAATGCAAATTGCAAAATTTGCAAAGAGCCCAGGAAACTATTCTTCTCAAGGAAAATCGTGCTGCCTTAGCGGGTTCAGTTAACCTCATTGGCCAAATTTGGTAGTGTTTCTTATTTTGTGCGCACTTCAAGGAATATCAGTTTAAGCAAGTTTGACGTCAGTTTAGTGTAAGTTTTTGTGTGTGTTTGGTTATAAACTTATAAGTCTTTGGTAGTGAAGGACTAGTGTGCTGTAGAGTTTGTTTTGTGTTCCTGTCCAAGCTTGCTTATCCCGAATCTTGGATTGAATAGGTCAGTTTGTGAGATCCAAGAGCTTGTTTATGAAACTTAAAAAATTAAAGGTGGATACTATGATAGGACGCTGGAGGGAAAATATTACTCTTCATATTATTATATTGTGAGATTTGATTCTTATGCGCACTCTAATGCACTCTCTACCAAAGAGGCCCTATATTATTCATGCAAGTAGAAATACATATGGTGTATTTTTGGATCCTGGAAACACACTATGGATGGGAAAAAGAGTGTTAGATAAGTTATTCACTTATATTCGTGTTGAACTTAGAAAATGGAGAGGAAAATGATGTATTATTATCTGTTTAATTTGTTCACATATATTTTGATATCTTAGTCTTTAGTTCTTTATATAATAGACATATATAGTAAAAATGTATGTCTTTAGTATTTGCAAGAGGATGGACATACAGCGTAAAACATTGTCACTGTCCTTTTATGTGTCAACTAATAGTGTTAATTGCATAACTCACTTTAGATAAATAACTAACCCTGTAATTTGATGTCACTGACCCAAAAATAATTTAGTGTTAAGGCGATGATGATGATGATGATTAGGTGCACATATTGGACATTTTTATATTGTGTCAGAAAGCCATATTGACATGGTTACAAATATTCTGCTATTAGGTTGCTGGTTAATTTTTGGTTTGCCATTTCACCATTCAAAGCAAATTACGATTTTATTCCATATGTTCCCATGTACTTGCTGGTGCTTTATTTTGGTTGAAAGAAAAGTAGTGCTCATCTCTGAACTTATTTTCACAATAGGTTGACTGGGATGGTTATACTATAGGATATTATGGTCGCATATTTGAAGCTCGTAACAAGACAAAAGGCGGATCCTTTGAGGTATACCCTCAGAACACTAGTGGGGGAATTTTTGCATTAGTTTATTTTTGTGCTAGGCTACATATTATATGCATCATTGTACTTCATAATGGTGCAGGGGGATGATAAGGACTTCTACAAATTCATATTAGGATCTGACCAAGTAAGATATTCTCTTTCAAGATTTGTATTGGTTATGTGTCGTGTAAGTTGGCTAGCACTGATAAACAGCCATTAAAAATGGCATCTCGAGTTCTTGATGTGATATAGATATCATCCTGTAGTTAGTGACTTTTCATTTTTCATCGTTTCATGAAGCTTCCATTCCAGTTTATTTCCTATTTTTACAAGTCATATACTCCATAATATTATTTTACAATCATATAATGGTTGAGACAGAATGCTGGCGCATTCGGTTCCTTATCATGTTTTCCCAGCTTCATTTCTCTAAGGCTATTTTTGGAAAACATGTTTTTATGTTGGTTTAGCTTTTGAAAATATGAAGATAAGCTTGAGTTAAAGTTTTCATATTCACAAATATTCACTATTTTTTGGCTTGGGAATATGATGGAATAAAGCAAAATGGCTCACTAAATTTTGTTATGAAGCAACATTCAGTTCATGCAATTTTCGACGCGATTTTCACCATGGGTCATCCAGAAACAATCTCTTTGTGCTTTAGTACAGGGGTAAAGTTGCATACATCTGGGACCCTTACCCCACCGTAGGTGAGAGCCTTTGCGGCACTAGGATAATGATGATGACAAATATTTTGATGTCAGTCTTTATATAATACTCCTTCCGTTCTCCAATAATTGTGTCATATTCCTTTTTGGGATGTTTTTAATTATTTGTCTTTCTTTCCCTTTTTAGTAAGTTTTTTCAATCAATATACTTTTATACCCCCACTTTTATTACCCTTACACTTTTTTTACCTACTACTTTTTCTTTCCTACTTTATCATTAATTTACTCTTCTTAATATATTTGCTTTCCTACTTTTTCATTTACCATACACCCACTATATTACCCCTACTATTTTCTTCTTAAAAACCACAAAAAACCTAAGGAGACTATTAATTAAGAACAGAGGGAGTAGAAATTTATTTATACATGATGAGTTTAAACAAATACTTCATACATAAAATTGGTATGTTAATTTTGGAATTTATTCTTGTTTTCCCTAAATTTTCACTCTTTCTGGATTTTCCTGTATATTATTTCCCTAACAATTTCCAGCCAAATGGAAAAAGGCCTGACAGTGTTGACTGTTGATCTTTGCTATTCGCATTCAGGTGATTCCTGCATTTGAAGAAGCCATTAGTGGCATGGCTGTGGGTGGCATTAGAAGGTGCTCTATATCTCACATATAATCTTGTAAACAATGCCTTTTTATTTCCTATGTTTTTACAATGGTTGCTCTGGAAACAGATTACAATAATTACATTATATGTTTCATTGCAAATTATATCTGTAAAATCCAACTTTAGTCTTTGGGATCGTAATTGTTTTTTTGGGGTTTAACTGAAAGATCGTATGAGATCTTAATGGTTAAGCTAATATATATTCCCCTATGAAAAATGACCAAAAGCAAGTAAAAAATCAACAAGGAAAAAAGGCCACCTGGGGGTGGTCCTTATTGCATCTAACTAGCACATTACACATCATGGCATCTCAAGACGCAAGCTAGATGTTGACAAGTAGTTTGGCAATAGGATTTCTTATTTCTTAATGAATCGATCATTTCAATGAAATCAAGTGATAGTTTTTGTAACAAAGACTTCAATTCAACTTGTTTTCCTTCTTAATGAGTATTTGCTAATATGCATATTTTTTATACTCTGGAAACTCTACTTTATTTAATCACTTTCAATAATGCAGGATCATAGTCCCCCCTGAGTTAGGATATCCTGATAATGACTTCAACAAGAAAGGTCCAAGTCCATTGACATTTTCGGTAATTCAGCTTCTTATCTGGCGATAAAGACTGTTGTTTTGTTGTTGTTAGGGGCGTTATGGCATTCACACTTTTGTTTTTGTTTTTTTTTTGTTTTTGTTTTTTAGGGAAGTGATAGCATTCACTGTGTTTATTATTTATTTAAAGTTTTAAACTTTCAAGTTTTATCAAGGGAGTGATAGCACTTGCTTTGTTTTGTTTTTTTTTTTTTCTTTTTTTAGTTTTTTTAGGGAGTTAACGAATTAACTTATTCATCCTTTCCATCTAAAACGATATTGATCTTGCATGCTTATAGGGTCAGAGAGCATTGGATTTTGTATTGAGAAACCAAGGTTTGATTGACAAGACACTGTTGTTTGATATTGAGCTCTTGAAAATCGTACCAAGCTGAGGAAGAGCATCCACTTTTCAGTTTTCACTATATGATGATGCTGTATATAGTTGCATGATTTGTATCTATTAGTAACAATTACATCTTCATCTTCTACTGGAAAGAGCTGCTATTGTTTTTAGAGTTATCAAACCCTTCGAAGACAGTCAGAAGCCCATTGTATATATTATTTCTAGTTTGTTTACCCATCTGTTGTTTACAAGAACAGTAGAAACATTGATATATTTTGAAGTTTTTATAAAAAGAAACAAAGTTTGGTAAAACCGATTGTAGTCCGATGAGTGAGTGAATCAAAGGTTACACTTTCCCATTCTATTGATAAGCAAAACAAGCCCAAACCTAAAAGTTTTATTTCGATGCTTTTTTGTGTTTTTATTCTTGCAAGACTAAAGAATGAACAATTGGAAAACAAGACTGCATAAAAAAATTTCACTCAGAGTTGCCCACAAATAGATGACTACCTCAAACCACAAACCAACATCAAGCTCAAGTTACTAGAATGATTTTCTCTGGGAGGGAGGGGGGGGAGGGGGGGGGGGGGGGGGGGGGGAGGAATGGGGGATCATCAAGATTCAAGAAGCTAAACAATCAAATCAGCAAGAGGAATGAGCTAAACATAGATGACTTGACAACTAGTAGGATTATGCAATAACAATGATGTTTGGCATTCATTCAACAGAAAGCTTGCGACGCTTGTACCTCACCATGACCTTCCCTTTGACGCCCACCACCATGGCGTTCCAGTCAATTTCCGGAAACGGTGATATTAGTTCCAATTCAAAATTCCTCAGCAAGTGACTCCATATTGCCTTTATCTGTAAATATGCAAAAGGCTCCCCCAAGCACCCATGCCTGCCACCACCAAATGATATGTACGAGAACGGTCCAGCAGCTTTGTCTTCATCTCTTCCCGGACCAAACCGGTCTGGGTCATATGTGTCCGGGTCTTTATAAATATGCGGGAGCCGGTTGGCGAAAGCAGGTGATGTTGCCACTATATGGCCCTTGGGAATGTCATACTCTATGCCCTGTTTGGTTGTTACACTGAAATCACTGTGAGAACTTCGTAGAAGCATTATCAAAGGAGGGTGGAGTCTTAAAGCTTCCTTTATGCATCTGTACATCACATCCATCTCTGACAAAACATCATGGTCAACCTTATTTGTCCCATGTTTCTTCATCAGACCCTTCTGTTCGTCCAACACAGCTGACATGTGTTTACTATTGCAAAGAAGGTATGCCCCTGTCCAAGTTGAGGTGATGGAACTAGTGTGCTGACCAGCAAACAAAGCGGCAATGAGTAAACCAGTGACTTCAGATTCTGTTGTTTGTCGGCCATCTTTGTACTTGGAGTCTATGAAGCACTGCAACATGTCATTTTCAGACTTTCCTGTTTTCTTGCGAGCAGAAATGATGTTTGTGAAGATCTCAGCGAGCTTCTTGCGGGCCCGGTCACGCCTCCAGTGTGCTGGGATGGGTAAGTAAGGGAAGATGACGCTGATCGGGAGCATACCACTATCCAGGTCATGGAATAGAGCAGACACGTCTTCGAATAGCTTGTTACGAACTTCTTCTCCCAACAGACATCTGCTAGCTGTCAGTATGATTAAGTGTTCCAGTTCATATTTTAAATCCACTTCGCCGCAGTCTTCCCATTTGGAGAAGTAGTCCTGCACGGGTCACGTACAAGTATATTCCTTAATTAAAAAAGGCAAGGCTTGATCTTGTGGAAATGAGATCTACACCCCCAGCTTTGTATTTCAATGGCTTATAAGCCATAACACTTTTACTTTTATGAGCATAACTTTTTTGAGCATACATTTGGAGGAGTTGGAGCTTGTTTGGGAGCCTACATTTTCATCCCTTTTTAGAAATCTATTCATGTTTGGGGACATTTTACTTTTATGAGCATAACTTTTTTTTTGCTCAATTACTTTTCAAATCTTAATTTTTTCTTTCAACTATTACGGTATTACCATAATACTTTAGCTTGTAAAGAAGGAATTTGTTGCACCCAAATGAAATTAATTACTTCCGAACCAATTTCATAAATCTTTAGCAAAAAAAAAACTGATTTCCATCGTTGTGAACTTGTAATCCATTATACATATAATAATTTACTGAAAAGATTTACCAAATACACCATAGTATCCTTCACCGCTTCTTCTACTTCATCCAATTATATAACTAGTTAAGTTCAATAAATGGAGGGGAAATTGCACTTTCAATCTCTCGATTCGTACCCAAATTGAAATGTAGTCCACTTGCTTTCAAGTTTTCAAATGTCACCTCTCAATTGTCCAAGTTGTTGTAAATGTAGTCCTTCAAAGGGTAACATTTAGGATGTGGGCAGGACTACAGTTGCAACAATTCGGACAATTGAGGGTAGGGGTGGACCGGTTCCGGTTCGAGTCCGGCCGGGCCTCGGTTCAAGAAGGGGAGGCCCGGAACCGGCCCGGGTAACCCCGGGGCCGGGCCGGGCCTCGGTTCTATTTTTTTTTTTTTGGCTGTTCCTAGTTAACCCCCAACCCTCCCCCTCACCCCCAAACCAACCCTAACCACCTCAAATGGCCCAAAATACCCAACCCAACCCAAAAACTTAAAAAAAATTCAAAAAAATAAATAAATTGGCTCGGCCCGGGCCCGAACCGGCTGGGCCGGTTCACCTTTTGAAGGACCCGAGCCCGAACCGCCATCCCACCGGGCCGGTTGGCCCGAACCGGGCCCGGAACCGGTTCACCGGGCCGGGCCGGTTGGCCCGGCCCGAGTCCACCCCTAATTGAGGGTGGCATTTACGCACTTGAAAACACAAGGGTTACATTCAATTTGGACACTATTTGAGAGACTGAAAGTGTGATTTCCCAATAAGTGAAAGTGTATCAGAAATGCATCCACATCTTAGCCTCTCACCCTTGAATTTCTCCAGTGCATAGTTCATTCTCTACGAAAGCAAAATAAAACAAGAAATGGTTTTATCAGAACAAATATGTGACATTTTGTGATTTGAATCATAACCTACAAAGGCTACAATCATCAAAGTACCGGTGGGCGTAGCTCAACTGATATAAAGGGAGTGCCACAAAGGTTAGGTCCCGGGTTCGAATCTCGACAACTGCGATGAGGGGTTACTATGCTAAAAATGCATAGGGCCTCTGCAAGTACCGGGGACAGAACTCCCTCTCTATCTGTCAGATTGGGATTATAGTCCAATTTACATCCTCCCAACGTACCGTCTGGTCGGGGTTGGGGGCCCTCAGGGGTCGGGGTTGGGGGCCCTCAGGGATGGGGTATCATCCTTTTTTTTTGCTACAATCATCAAAGTTCAACGCTTTAGTGGCAGCTTGAGAGGAGTGGATACTAGAAACACTTCCCTTATTCCCATAAGACAAATATAGTACTAGATGTGAGAGATTATTACGATGTGTTCAGTTACAAAAACCAAAACACTGAAAAACTATCTTACAAGTCTAGGTTAATGGTTTCAACCTTTCAAGTGCGAAGATACAGAAAACTTGAAACATTGGGCGTGATTTATAGCCCAATTAATGAGGATAACCTTAGGCTAAAATGGCTTAAATGATTAAAGAGTAACTGAAACGGCTGAATACGTTAGGTTAGCTAAAATGCTTATTCCTACACGCCAATAAATGAGTTTTTTTGTAGCACTCCCTCCGTGAGTGCTACAAACTTGAATCATTTTTTTGTGACAGAAGAAGTATTAATTATTTATTTTTAGTATCAGAAAAGCCAACTCTTTTGGATGGATGTAGAAATGTAATATTTGAAATAGTATTTGATAGTTTTCAAGAAAAATAACAAAATTTTATACGACATATGTGTGTATGTGGTAGAAATTCACTTTTACCTTTTATCTTATAGTTCACTCAAAAAGACAACTTCAAATTACTTTTTTTATTATCAGATTGAGCTAACCAAATAAGTGTGTGGGGGTGTGTTTGATATAAAACTACTTTTACCTTTTATCTTTCATTTAAGTCAAAAAATATCTTCAACGATAACTTTTTACTATCAACAATGTTTGGTTGGAAATTACTTTTGATCTTTCATCTTTCATTTCACTAATTAGAAAAACATCTTCAACATTACTTTTTTTATTACTCCTTATAAGATTCAGCAACCAAATAAGTGCGAGTGTTTGGTTGAAAAATTTCAAGATTAATCTTTTTATAATCAAATTCACTAGCCAAGTATGTTAATGCTTGTTTCAGGAAATTCATGGTAAAATATACAACAATTGGAGTGGTATGATTATAGAGTATGCAACAATGGCTTGTTCTGTGCAAAAAGAGAAGCAGAATATAGACAGATACAGAACAGGTAAGTGAAGAAAATGATAAAAGATACTCCGCATTAGTTAATTATTATGATACCTCAGCTTCCATGACCATCATATCCACATAACCTTTCAACTTGGTGACCCTAAGAGACTCCGTAAAGAATCTGAACTGCTCTTGCCTGACAGAGTAGTCCACATCAAACACCACGCCCGGCCCGAAAGTGGGCACATTGAATTGGTACACCTCCTGCTGGCTGAGATCGGTTTCCGGAGCCTTGAAGAAATGGGCCGAAACCTCCGGCCCGATCAAGAAGGTGATCTTCATGTGGAGCAGGTTGAGGGTGAAGACGCTCCCCAGCTTAGGGTACTCCTCTCGGAGCATCACAATCGGGCCTTTCATGAACCGGATCAGCCCACCAACGAGAGGCCATGATTTCACCGTCGGAGGCAGCCGCTTCCTGGATCTGGGGATGATTAGGGCGGCGATCAGCTTCGCCGCCACAATAGTGGCGATCAACAGCAGGCCTACATTCAAAAACTTGCTATCCGCTAAATCCATTGTTACCTTTTACGAGATTGGTAGAGGACAGGTAGTGAGTAGATGGGATTTCTGGGCTGAAGTTATAGGAAACCGCCGGAGATTCCAAGGTCGGAATAAGAATTTCACAGAATTGAAGAAAATAATGGATTATGTTGTATCCAGATACAGAGTAAGGTAGTGAGTGATATCATCAGCTCACCACTGACATTGTGCGCACTGTTTAGGGCATGAGTTTTTTAGTTTTCCGCCCATAAACTACGTTGAGCCAACAATTAGCCTATTGATTAGTGATTACTTTTTGTTTTTTTAATGATCGAGTCCAGACTCTACGATTGCCTAGCGATAAGGTTTGGGTGTACTCTCTTACTAAATAAAGTTTAGTGTTTCATTTCACACAGATTAAGTAAATAAATTTGACTTTATTGTAAGGTACACTGTTGTAACACTGTTTGACACTGTTTGACGCTGTTTTTCATTGTTTTGACGTAGATAATTTGCCAAATAAGGAAGGGAGAAGACATGTGAACTTTATTTTGGACCGTCCCAAAAAGAAGAGTGTGAACTTTCTTTAGGTCAGGAGGAAGTAGTTTATAATTCATACTCTATATTGAGCTCTATTTTGTTTATTTTTGCAAATCTGTCTAACCTATTACTCCCTCCGTCCCCTTTTAAATGTCCCGGAAGAGGGTGACACGAGTTTTAAGAAAAGTAGGTTTGTGTGGTTGATATTAATAGATAAAGTAAGAATAAAGTAAGAATTATTTTGAGTCACACAAACTTTACCAAATAAGGTATGAGACAATTAAATAGGGACATCTCAATATGGTAAAATGTGACATTTAAAAGGGGACGCAGGGAGTATATGTTATAATGCTAACATCCTAAACTGAGATTAGATTGAAATCTACAACCTCTTCTTTGGGAGTGTGAACGTGATTCACATACAAAAAAGCAGGTTTCTCACATTGGTGGGTGCAAAACTATTTGTAATGTAGTAATGATAAGGAGGTAAAAATGTTAAAAATTGACTCTCATATGAAAACAATGTTTAGACATATATTTTCTTGCATTCCAGCATCATCAATAAAATGCACTCAACATATGCTCAATGAAACTGACTTAATAACTTTTAGAGACTATAAATATGTTCAATTTATTTACCTCAATGCCCATGAAAACATATTTATAGTAACTTTAGTCACATTTTTATCCATAAATTTATTTCGTAACATTTTTAGAAAACTTATATTATATTATTTTTATGCGTCTTAAACAAAATATTATGATAATTGTATTCTTTGGATTTGAATTCTTGGTGATTTTGGAGATTAATATTTATGTTATTATTTGCGATTTGTACTTTGATTAATTTTATTTGAAAATAGATTTTAAAATATAAAAGAAAAATGAGATGATTTCACATTCGGGTTTTAACCGGCCCAACCCGAACCCGGACCGAACCCGGGTTACAAAAAACCCGACTCGGGCCGAATATAGTGGGCTTTATTTAAGTCCCTAATTTTCATAAACCGAGACCTTACGAGTAATTTCCGGGTTTAGCAAAAACCCGACCCGAACCGTACCGATCTCACCCCTAATAATACTACGAGCCCGTTTGGTAGCATGAAAATCGGCTGTTTTGGCTGATTCTGCTGAAATTTATGAAGTTCTGGCTGAAGTGGCTGCATTGGCTGATTCTGGTGATACAAGAAAAAAATATTTTTAAAATATATTTTATTAATAAAATAAAGAAAAAATTATTTGTAAAAATAGCTAAAATGATCATCTACAATAACTTCAGCCAATACAGCCAGAAAAGTAACTCCAACCTTACTTTTTCGGCTTATTACACAATTCAGCGCGTGAAAGCAAAGTTTACGTGTTTGGTAAAAAAGTTGGCTGATAAGCCGAAAATGAGGGTTGCCAAACGGCCTCTACGTATCATAGTAGTTGGAATATTAGTAGGGAGTATGTGATTAGATAAGCTAATATAGTGGGAAAATAAATCGACTTAGGGTTGTTTACTTTCGTGCGATTTAATGAATTTAATGGGAATACCGATTTCATCATTTAATCACTACTTAATTACTTACTACTTAATTAGAAGCATGACTTAATCATTCAAGAAAAAGATAGACTTTATCATTAAGCTAAAGAATAACAGTCATTTCCACTAAGACATTTTTTCTGTCATTTTTTTCAAATTGATTGCGGAATAGATTTATATTAATAAATGAAGTTTTTCATTTCTGATAAACAGTTTGGATCGAGCAAAATAATCAATTTAATATTATTCCTAATAAAATAATAGATTTATATTACTTAATTTTATTAAACTAATAAACTTATGTGAAGAAAAATTCATCAAAAATTAGCATTGGAATTAATAAAAAATAAATAAATCAAAATCTATGAAATTTTAGGTCTTATATGACAATTCTTAATATCTTAAATTTCACATTTCAAAGGCTTTTTACAAAAAAAAGTACAAATATTTAAATTGACCGTAAAAATTTATACTTGCATCTCAAACCTTTGTTGCGACCGGAACGTGACTCGGCCAAGTGACCGGATCATGAGTCAACTCGAACCCGGCAGTTAACCCAGTTGATGTGTAGTCATTAAAAAATTAAAAATTGTTATAAGAATAAATAAAAAAATTAAGGTGCCAAAATGTAAGTTTTTTAACAAAATTCAAAATGTATTTAGAATTAGATGGAAAATATGTAAACATATTTTTAGCAATAAAAACAGTGAGTATTATAATAGTGCTAGCCTAAATATAAAATGCGGAAGAAGTGATCTGGGATTCTATGCGGAGCATAATGCGGGTGGCCTGGGTTCCTTGATGACTGGATTTTTGTTGAAGAAGAGACAAAATAAAATCGTTTAACCTTTGAAACCTCCCCATCGGAGGAACTGAAAAAATCAGTTTTTGGGGGGTTTAGAAGGAGTATAAAATACCTCCAAAACCTTCCCTCTCATTTTTTTTAAACTTCCAAACACAAAATGTAGGGTCATCCTTCCATCCCTTTCCCTCCCTCCCAAAATCCTACTCCCAAACACACCCTTAGTGTCCCTTTGGTAGCCTAATTTTCGACTTATCAGGCCCAATCAATTTTTCATCAAACACACAATTTTTAATTTCGCGCGCTGAGTTGCCTAATAATGAAAAAAGTAAGATTGTAGTTACTTTTCTAGCTTTATTGGCAAAAGTTATTGTACATGATCATTTTAACTATTTTTAAATATAATTTTTTCTTTATTTTATTAATAAAATATATTTTTAATATAATTTTTTAATAAATAAGGAGAATGCGTCAGTTCAATCACTCCGGCCAGAATTTCAACTAATTTCAGCTTATTCAAATATAAATTTTAATGTTAAGGCTCACACAATTTATTACTACTATGAGTTATTACCCCAAATTGGTGGAAATATTAGAATTTGGTACTCTCCCTAATTTGCTAGAATTTTCTTGTTCTGGTAGTATCTATAGACCTCTCCACTCAATATTATCCGACATTGTACATAATTTATTTCATTGTTGAACATGACATATACGGAGTACTAAAATTGTTCCACTTTGAATATTACGTTTTAGGTCTCACGATCTGCCATGTCGTTTTTTAATGATTGTTATTTTTTTGTATACTTACAAAATGAGGAAAAGCTTTTGTTGAGTACCGAGTACGCCAACTTGTATTTGGTGGAGTAAAAAGTATATTATATTGCATTTGACATTTGTAAGTACACGAACTCAATGTTTTAGTGTTAATTGAGTACACTCGTTAGATTAAAACGTTAATATGAGTGAGTTGACTTATGAAATGCTGGATAAGGAAGTTGACCATAAAGGGAAAGTCGACCTTCCCTGTGAGGCAAGGGGATCGACTTGCGGGATGCATCGGTCAAGGGGATTTCGACCTGCGGGGGATTGGCAAATCCGACCTGCGGGGGATTGGCGTCGACCAAAGGAAAATCGGCCAAGGGGCTGTGGGGTTTGCATTGACCTTCAAGAAGTCAACCTATTAGCACTGTTAACCAACTCGGACGTATTAACGTTAAAAAATCGAGTTCGTGTACTTACGAATATCAAATGCAACATAGTGTACTTTTTAGTCCATCTCATACAAGTTGACGTACTCAATTGACTTTTTCCTTCTTACAAAATGTACTTCGTACAATAATTTATGCCGACTACATTTAAATAAATTGCTTTTCATCATAAAAATATTTCCACCTTTAATTTATGCAATTTATGAAATAGATAGTAAAAAAATCACGATGTAAAGTACCATCGGAAAAGTTAACTCTCATCGTCAAAGGATTTAAGATGTTTTTACTTTGACTGAATTTTTTTAATTTGGCTTTGTTTGATCTTGAATATTTAAGTCTGATCTCACTTGTTCTAAACTGATTTAGACTGGTGGATGTCTGGTCTGTTTGTTTTTTACGATTGTCGAAATCTGATCTAGATTGAAAATAGGGAAAACTATCAAATAAGCCCCTGTACTGTACCAAAAAAGTCGATTAGGCCCTCATACTTTACAAACACTCAATTAAGTCCTCGAACTATTAAAAAACGTTCAATTAAGCCCTTTTGGTGGGTAAGTAACCGATTTCCCGGTTAAACGTCGACGATGGCGACGATGTGCTCGAACCCCAGCAACGACGGCTTCCGGGAAACAGGTTACATTTAACCGGGAAACCGGTTACTTATCGACCGAAAGGGCTTAATTGAACGTTTTTTAATAGTTCGAGGACTTAATTGAGTGTTTGTAAAGTACGAGGGCCTAATCGACTTTTTCGGTATAGTACGAGGGCTTATTTGATAGTTTTCCCTTGAAAATATTCAAATAAAACATTCTTAGTCATCAAAATGAAGCCTAAATACATATAAAAAAGAGTAGAATACTCTCGCCAAAATTAAGTCATGTCGATCAGTATTTTTGTTTGAAACTCTTCAAAACATATACAGAGTATTAAATTTGTGTATTAAAAATCATATACAATGTGAAACACTTCTGTGGCCGCCTGGTAGGGCGATATCATTGTTGCATTTCAATGTGAAAATAGAAGGATGAAACCTTATTTCTCACGTTTCCAGCATCCACAAGACTGTTAATTAGACGGATTAAAATTTAAACTGAATCACAGATAACAGATAATGAGTGATACTCTGATTCAGATACTTGCATAGATGTTATACATTTTTACATAGTAACTTTTTAATGGAATTGTTAGAAAGCATTTTAAGGTGAAAGTCTTAGGGCGTGATTGTTACAGAGGATCCCGTTCAATCTAGTTTTTGCCTACCACTCTAATTTGTCTCCTACACTGCTAAATACAATCAATATTTATTATCTCACTGAAACAATTTGAAAAACTAGAGCTTCAATTCTTTGAGCTACAAGATTCATACTCCCTCCGTCCCAGAAAATTCATACAACTTTGGTTTGGTACGGAGATTAAGAAAATGGAATAAAGTGGAAATGTGTGGTTGTAGTTATGTAAGAAAAAAGTGAAATGAATGTGAACCACACAAATTGTCTAAATATGGTAAGTGAATAGAATATTTTAGGACGGTCCAAAAATGAAAGTGAGAAGAATTTTATGGGAGGGACGGGAGTAATATTTTTCTCCCATTTACTGGACGTCTGGACTAAAGGTCGCTAGTAAAATGAACCATTTAGCAATGCGGTAACATATGCAGTACAGGACTCCACCAGTTGGACCATTGGCTACACCAATTAGACCATTCACACACTAAATGACTAAAATACCTACCCCTTTATTGAGCTGTAGATGCAATTAATGAGCACTCAGCTTTCAACCAAATTTATGAGCTGCTAATTTATTATGAACAGTACTCCGATTTTGACCGGTGCCCAGGAGACAGGCTGCAATGTGTATATCTCTTTTTCCTATCAGCCGTCCGATAATAGATCCAACAGTCACCATTTCTTCTATCCAAAAATTAAATTCCATTTTTGTTCTGCCTCTCAAGAATTAAATCCCAATATAAAGAATAAAAACAGAGCTTTCCAGTTCCCCCAGCTTTAGATGCCCAGATGGAAAGTGCTTCTTCAGGCATGAGAGGGAAAGAGATCAAGTCCCCTGAGGTGGCTTGGGGCACCCCTACCCCCTCCCGCACCCCTATAGCCAGAAAGAAGCTGGGGACGCACTTCATCGAATCAGACGACCGGAGAAGAGCCCTCGGCGGCGGCTACACGGGCGGCGCTACGCCGGTGAACATCCACGGAAAACCCATTTCCGATTTGTCCAAGACCGGCGGCTGGATGGCGGCGTTCTTCATTTTCGGTACCTATCTCATCCACATGTCGGTTCATCTTTTTTTATACCCCGGAGTATATCTGACATAGACCCGTACCACGGAAACTTTATTTGAATATTGAAAAACTTCATCTTCGTTTTCTCTCGGGTTTCGGAGCAACATAGATACAGACAAAACTTTATTTGAACATTGAAAAAATTGCAGGAAATGAAATGGCGGAGAGGATGGCGTACTTCGGGCTGTCGGTGAACATGGTGGCATTCATGTTCTACGTTATGCACAGACCATTTACCAGCTCGGCGAACGCAGTAAATAATTTCTTGGGCATATCGCAGGCTTCCTCTGTTCTCGGTGGCTTCTTAGCTGATGCTTACCTCGGCAGATATTGGACTATAGCTATTTTCACTACCATCTATCTTGCGGTAATTGTCAACCCTGGACTTGTTTTATACTCCGTCCCTACCCTAAATAAACATTCTACTTTTCTTTTTTGGGCCGTGCCTAAATAAAAATTCATTTCCATTTGATAAACAAAATAGTTCAAAACAATGCCAAACAGGGATGAAAGAATACTTTTCTTGTAACAATGATTATCAAAGGTTTGTATAGTGTTAACCCGTGGTTAATTTAGTGAGCATCTAATCTACTATAGGGTTTTTACTTTATTTAGAATTTCCAACAAATTTGTCATTTTGATTTAAAATCATAAATATGTGAGTTTTTTATCTCCGCACGTTTCAACCGCACAATTTTTACTTTATTATTCTAAGTTATAAATTTAGGTTAGTGTCTATTCCATAAAACAAACAAAATGCAGTCAAAACTGTCTATTCCATATAACTATAGTAACTATTGAATGCCAAATAAATAATAAAATAAGTTTGATTTTTATTACACTCTATAGTGTTGTGGTTGAATTAGGAAAAAAGTAAATGAATGTTAGCTAGACAAGCTATTGCATACGATTTTTTACATCGGAGGAGTATCACATAAGGGTGGAGTATGTTTTTACCTTTTCTTTTAATAATCCGTTTGGTAACACTGAAATTGATTGAATCGGTTGATTTAGTTGAAAATTTATGAAGTTCTGGCTGAAGTGACTAGATTGTCTGATTCTGGTGATTTATGAAAACATTATTTTTAAAAAATATATTTTATTACGTAATAAAATAAAGAAAAATTATGTGAAGAAATAGTTAAAATGGTCTTCTATAGTAACTTCGACCAATGCAGCCAAAAAACCAACTTCAACCTTACTTAATTTGATTATTACACAGTTCAGCGTCCGATATCAAAAATTACGTGTTTAGTGTAAAAGTTGGAAATAAACCGAAAAACAGGATCTCCGAACGAGCTATTTTCCTTCTTACTTTTCCGCGGATTCACATGTGGGGCCCACAAAGTGAAGAGGCTAGGAACATTGAGATCTCAATCTGTAAATAAAAAATTCTAAAGGTACACACTTTGTGGTTTACACACTTTTTACACATGTCTGTGTAAGGTTTTTTTATGTCTTTACAGACATAACGTATTTTAAAATACGTTATGTCTGTACAGACATAAAAAAACCTTACACAGACATGTGTAAAAAGTGTGTACACCAAAAAGTGTGTACCCCAAGTCCAACTCATGCACGTTATATTGTACTACCTCCGTAACACAAAGATCTTCCCATTTTGACTTTTCACGGTCTTATAAGTTGAACTTTGACTCTAAAATTCATAATAAATTAACATTCAAATAATATATTTTACATTGAGGTATATGAAATAAATTTTTAATCATAACATAATGTGAGTTTTGAATAATTAATGGTCAAAGTTTATAAAGTTTGATCCAAAATAGTCAAATTGGGAAGATTATAGGGTCACGGAGATAGTAAAGTTTTGGTAGTTTTTTTTTAAATTAGTTTATGAAACCATTTGGTTGTGCCTGAGAAATGATGTCAGCGGAGAATGTATACTCTTCCTGTAACTTTCCTTGCAATGCTGGAACAATGTCACATGTCATATTGGCACCCCCAAGTCCGCAACACCTACCATTCAATGTTGTACTTCCTCTGGCCCAAACTATAAATCCTAATTATTAGGAAATGTTTCATACTATAGTACTGTCTCCTTCCAAAAAAATCTCACTTAGTCTTTAAGGCATTAATTAATTAACAAAGTGAAAATATATAATTTTGATTTATATAGAAAACGGGAAAAGGGTTAACCACACAAACATTCTACACACATGTAACTCAAAAAGTTATATTCGGCCAATTTTCCAAATTAACACCATAAAATGTTGGTCTTTATCATAAGAAGTGGAAATAGTTCAAAATGGTACGGAGTAATTATTTTTTAAAAAGGACAACTATAAAGCTGTCATAAACTGATAGTAAACATATTTGAAGAAAATATATTTGTAGGCTAATTTAAGGAAAAGCAGGACTTGAAAAAAAATGTATTGATGCAGTTTTTTCGGATATACATTTAATATTTATTGACTTTGGTGATGTATTTGTCTTACACACAAGGTATAAGATATCATACAGATATATGTTAGATTTTAAGATATTTATTCTATCATGTTGACTTTTAAGATATTGCTCAAAATAGGAGTCAAACATGAATCAAGTTCACAAATAAGATTAATTATGTTTTGTTCCTAAATTAAAAGTTATTTAATCCTAATATGTGAACAAAAACAATCAAAAATCTGTTTTTAGGAGTGAATGACCTCAATTTTACTTCTACTTGGTGAACATTCACAACCTTTTACCCAGAAAGCTAGACCTATTAGAGGTCTTAGAGATAATAATGTGCTTTTTGACAACTTGACAAGTGAGATTATTTCAGTGTGGCACACCGCACACAACATAAATGTAGCCAACAAAGTAAGATACATTCTAATGTTTAATACCAGATTTCAATGTAAAAGAATACGTTAAAGAAGTAATGTTTGCATTTTTAAGGATATATATGGGTAGGTGCCATTTATGATTGTGCTATATAAATCTATCCCATATGAACTGTTTTTAGTTTCTTTTTATAGAAATATGAACTATTAAAACTTGAGGTTCAATTCTAAACTGTGACTTGACAGAATGTATACTCCAAAAATTTATATGTGAGTTTGTATCTTTACCTTTGTTCAAATTTGGATGACTTAATAGACATCAGAAACTTTAACCTCTTGCATACTTGCTTTTCAAGTGGTATTTATATTTGTAACTTTGTAAGAATACTTGCTATATACTCAAATGAGACTTTTTTGTTTTTTTATGGAGGGTCTAATAGGAATAACCCTGTCTGCAACATTGAAAAGCTTCATCCCAAACCAAAACCAGTGTGATCAGCTAGCAATACTGTTAGGCAGTTGTGAAGCAGCAAAGCCATGGCAGATGACATACCTCTACACAGTCCTTTACATAACAGGCTTTGGAGCAGCAGGTATACGGCCATGTGTTTCCTCCTTTGGGGCAGACCAGTTCGATGAAAGAAGCAGAGACTATAAAGCGCACCTCGACAGATTCTTCAACTTCTTCTATCTTTCTGTCACCCTCGGCGCCATCATCGCCTTCACCGCTATAGTGTATATCCAAATCCAGCATGGGTGGGGGTACGCTTTCGCGGCATTGGCTATCGCCATGGGTCTGTCGAACGTTGTTTTCTTGGCAGGCACGCCTTTGTATCGGCATAGGCTGCCCGGTGGAAGCCCTCTCACCCGAGTTGCTCAAGTCCTAGTTGCTGCCTTTCGGAAAAGAAATGTTGCTTGGGAGGAGAGTGAGTTTGTGGGGCTGTATGAGCTTCAAGGTAAACGATCAGCTATCCAGGGCAGCAGCAAGATTCCTCATACCCATGATTTCAGGTAAACACCAGATCAATGACGTCCCTCCTAAGTCCTAACACGTTTTCTTAGGGCTGATTTCAAAATGTCAATGTTTGACCAATAACACATTTCTATGCAAAATGATCAATAATATACTTCACCGTCTCTCATAACTCTACCAAATTGGATCGGAACGCAAAATAATAAAGTAAATTTTGTAGTTACAGTTTGTGCAAAAGAGAGAATTACAAAATAATCATTTCGTCTAAGTTAATACCTAGTACTCTAGTAGTTCTTAAGATATCATAAATACAAACATAAAATTAAAAAACACTTTTTTCTGAATTCCAAACTCAACCCTAATGTCCTGAGAATTGGATAAACTTATTTGATATGTTTAAACTAACTAAAAATGTAAACAGATGGCTGGACAAAGGAGCTTTGCAGCTGAAGGAAGACGGAATCAGCCCAAGTCCATGGAGGCTGTGCACAGTTACTCAAGTGGAAGAAGTCAAAATCCTAATAAAACTTCTCCCCATTCCAACCTCCACCATAATGCTGAACCTAATCCTAACTGAGTTCTTGACTCTATCAGTCCAGCAAGCCTACACTCTCAACACCCACATGGGTCGTCTCAAACTCCCAATCACCTGCATGCCTGTCTTCCCGGGCCTCAGCATATTCCTCCTCCTCTCTCTATACTACTCTGTCTTTGTCCCGCTATCCCGACGCATCACTGGTCACCCTCATGGTGCTTCCCAGCTCCAGAGGGTCGGTATCGGGCTAGCTGTCTCGATAATCTCTGTTGCATGGGCAGGCGTGTTTGAAAGGTACCGGAGAAGTTACGCTATCAAAAATGGCTTCGAGGGTAGTTTTTTGACTGCCATGCCGAACCTGAGCGCTTACTGGCTACTCATCCAGTACTGCCTGATAGGCATCGCGGAGGCCTTCTGCATTGTGGGGTTGCTTGAGTTTCTGTACGAGGAAGCGCCCGATGCCATGCGAAGCATTGGGTCAGCTTATGCGGCCGTGGCGGGAGGGTTAGGATGTTTCGGGGCGACAATCATGAACAGCATTGTGAAAGCATTAACGGGTGGGAAGGAAGACGATGGTGGGCTGGCACTGCATTCATGGCTGTCACAGAACATAAACACAGGACGGTTCGACTACTTTTACTGGCTTTTGACCGTGATGAGCGTGATCAACTTCTGCGCCTTTTTGTATGCAGCGAGTAGGTATGAGTACAGGGTGAAGCCGGTGAGTGGTGATGAGGTTAGGCTGCAGCCTGTTAAAAGTGAGCTGCCCACCGTAGGGGAGTGATATGAAGCTAGCTAGACTGTATACTTTGTATTAATTGATTAATTAAGCAGTGTTGAGGAATTCTTTTTAAGCTTGTTTGCCTATAGCCTTATACGAGTATCATCTTACATTCTTACTTTGATCTTTGCCTCAATTGTATACTAAAGTGGATTGTGGAATTCACACAGAAAGGAATTTCATTTGTTGTTCTTCATTTGTTGGCATATTCTTCATGTTTGGCCCACTGAATTGTGCAACTATCGAAGCAATAAAGTAAGACTGAAATAATAATATTCCTTTGAATTAGCTTAATTTGCTAAAGATAAAGTTTAGCTTTTTCATATACTCCTTAACATCTTCCTCCGTCCCTAAATGCAGGCTGACTCTGGAAAATCTAAAATCTAAAACTGAATCAAAATAAACTGAACCACAATCAAATAAAATCGAACCACTAAAAAACTGAAACCAGATGTAAAAAGCCGAACCGTAGTTGTTTGGTTCGATTTTGGTTTTAACCCTTCAAAATCAAACCGAATAAACCAAACTAGTTAAAATATGAAATTTTACTTATTTCTAATCAAGTCTTCCAGCCCAGTTAGTTGTGAGGTTATCATGTCTAGTGAGAGGTCTCGAGTTCGAAACCCGCTAGACACATAAGGGTTTGAAACTCAATGAAGTGAGTTTCAGCCCTTATTACTCCCGACCCCCTCAGCCCCCCTCACTCAGATGCCCCTGGAGTAAAAAAAAGAAATTTTACTTATTTCTACGTGATTGTTATGAATTAATCCTAATAGCATCGATAGCCTTTGGTTGTCTTGCGCCAGAAAATTGATTTTTGTTTTATGTTTAGTTATAAATGCTTTCACATTCCTTACTACTCCCTCTGGTCCTAAATAAATTTCACACTTTCCTTTTTGGGTCGGTCCAAATTAAAGTTCACACTTCTTCTCCCTTCCTTATTTGGCAAATTATCTACATTAAAACAGTGCAAAACAGTGCCAAACAGAGCCAAACAGTGCCAAACAGTGTCACAACAGTGTACTCTACAGTAAAGTCAAATTTATTTTCTTAATTTGTGTGAAGTCAAACACTGAAATTTATTTAGGATTGGAGGGAGTATAATAATGTAGCTAAATTGATCTATTATGGCGTTTATGTATGTATGTTGCAATTTATTGAATAATGATGACATGTTTTGACGGAGTGTTACTAGTAATTAAATTTAATTTTTGTGTAGCTTAAAGTTTTTATATTGACAGGACAAATAAATATTAATCTCGTATATATCACATAAAACGTATATCCCGGGGGTGTTTGGAATTGATTTGGTTCTGTTTCTTAAGCATAATCAGAATCAGAATCAGTATTTCCGAAGCTGGTTTCCCTCAGATTCTAAAAAATTGCTTCTTTCACCCAAACAATCCAATGTATGTTCCTGCTCCCTGAATGAGCAGAAGCAGTTTTAAGAAGCGGATTCAAACATCCCATATTCAATAACTTTTTCAAACTAGTCATAAATAATGTAAATTATGAATATATAATTTTTATCTCTCCCACGTACTAATAAAATTTGAGACATAGTTATTGGTTCTTTTATTTACTCCATTCGTTCTTTTTTAGTTGCAATAGTCAACATTTAAATTTGACAACGCACATCTTTGATCATAATTACTCCGTATATCTTAATTCTATTAGTAAAAGAAATATTAAAAATCATATTTTGAAAATTTGTAATGATATAAATTGAACAATATATAAAAAAAATAATTTTCATAAAATAATAGCGAAAATGTAGTCAAAATAATTCTGGCCTCCAAAATCAAAAGCAAACCAAGGGAAAACTCATCTCCCATATCCTCCCAACGAAAAAGATTGAGTTGGGGTTTCCTTTCAGAAATATAATAACAGAGATAGCAAATTGCAGAAGTCTTTTTTATGATTCAATATCTATTCCCAACCCAATTTGTTTTCAACAAATCGAGCGGATTGTGAACTTGTGCCTGAACCATTTCCACACTTTGGAGGTTGAAGTCACCGCAAGATATTCACAGTTTCACAGGTCTGTTCCATTCACGCTTCCATGGAAAATGGCAATGGTGCTTCAGCTATGGAAATTGAAGAACTGAATTCAAATCATGCTGATCAGATCAACAATCCCAAATTCTCTATCAATGGTTCCTTCAGCTCTTCTCTCATATTACCCCCTCCCTCCAAAATTTTATTCCCACTGTGATTTGTGATGTATAAGGAAGAAAAATTGTAAGGCGAGTAGGAAATCAACCACACAAATGTCGGGCCTACAGTTGGGGATGCCTAATGGCGTACACCATTTTTTTAAAGGAGATGAGAAGACCATTTTAGGAGGCCCGGAAAGGACAGTAGTAAGGAGTTATGGGACGGATGGAGTATATATAATATTCACATGTATGCTTCAACGGATAAATATCACATAGGACTGTGTGCATATTTTATTTGCTGTTGCCTTAGATGAAAATTTGACTATATGTCTATATGTAAAAAGGGAGTTCATATATATATATATGTGTGTGTGTGTGTGTGTGTTTTCATGTCCCTTTATGTTAATAGTAATTTGGGCAATAAATTTGGTGATGCTCAGTGTTGCAGCTGCTGAAATCCGCTCAGTTCCAGCATGGGTTGCGCTTTCGTGACTATACTAGATACAGGTATGACTGGTTTTCTTATTGATAAACAGCCAAGACGTGTGGTATGCAATACCTGTGATTTTATGTGTCTAAAAAATGAAATGCTCTTTGAATGATTGAGTACACAGGAGGTATTGCACTGCCCGGTTGGGACGATTGTACAAATCACTGAAGTTCACCCATGGATGTGGGAAGTATACAAAACGTACAAAACATACAAAACGGAACCAGTTACTGGTTAGCATAGTGAGAAGTAAGTTCAATAAGGCCCGAGATGATAAAAGTGAAAAAGTTACGAAGCCAGCAGAGCTCGTTCGGCTGTATGATCTTTTATTTCAGCTAAGAAGAATTTCTAATTGCAATTATGTGTATACTTCACCTGAGAGATGATTTAGAATGCAGTGGTGAATGGTGATATATCAATAACGATAAGAATAACAATAATAATTAATGTAGTAATTAAAATACTAAGAACAATAATAATTATATTGATGATGATAGTAATAAACTATTAGTAGTAGGAGTAACAACAACAATAATTGTAATAATGAGAATACTACTAATAATGATAATACAATAACAACAACAACAACCATAATAATAGTAGTAGTAGTAGTAGGAATAATAATAGTAATTTGCAACAAGTGTATTGAGTTTGTGTCTTTTGGCAGAATACTTCTGACCTTTCTGATTTAGTAAGCTCTGGAAGAGATAGAAAAGCAGAAGAAGTGGCACTCACTGAAGAATGTGAAGTGAAGAGTATGGTCTACCGGGCACAACGGTATGCCAACTTGTTATTACCTCCTTTGTTTTCCATCCTACTTGTTCTCTTCATCAATCAATTAGGTTGCCGTGTTTTATCTATCCCAGTAAAATCTACAACTTTGTCCCCATTATGGGGGAAAATTTAACTGATAGAAATTAGTCATTTTTGTCACATTCTAAACTCTACTCCGAATTTCACCGTCTTCTCAATGTGTCATGTTTTCCACTGTGTGTGTATTGTTCCCAATACCTTTTCCACTCCCAGTTTCCTAGCTTCAGAATTAATTAGGTGTATTGGTGGTTGATAAAGATGTACAGTAATATAGAAGATTATAGAAGAAGATTCAAGAAAACTAACTGCAATTTTATTAGAGAAGAAGAACAGTAATTGTAACCAATGGCCGAAGCCCCCAATTGAGCCGAAGCCCCCCAAAAGAAAGAGAATAGCTCTCGATCTTCCCAAGTCCCAGAATGATAAAGTCTAAAACAGCCTCCTAAATCTCCCCTGCTATCTTCTATTTATACTAAACTTGTACACTTTATTCTTATTAATATTCTAATAGGCCCGGTCCTTTATTCTTAGTATCTATAGGCCCGGTCCCTAACAATACTCCCCCCTTAAACATCCACCTTGCCCTCAAGGTGGGTGATAGGACACAGCCACCAATTTCTTCTTTTCTTTCATCCTAGCACCCCTCCCTCTCCAATACAGATTTGTCTTCTGGATCTTTTGCTTTACTACTTCCATCTTCCACTCTATGTAATTCATAGCATAGTTCCACAGAGGCCAGAAAATTTGATGCAAAACTTTGATTCCTGCAGATTTTTGGAAGACCCAGGTGCGGCCTGCTGCAATATAGGGGACAACTACTTCATGCTTTTGAACAGTATGAACACTTCTTCCTTCAACATCCTGTTCACTTGATGATTCATCTCCTTGTAAAATCACCTTCTGCCCTTGTACTTCCCATTTGAAGGTCTGACTTTGGAAGTTAATCTCCGTGTCTCCCAATCTTGTTAGCCAGTCCATTCCCAAGACTAAATCCGTGCTCCCCAGCTCCAATAAGTAATAAGTTTGTTGAATACTAATTCCTTGCACATTCAGATCTACATCTGCACACCTGCCACAAATTTGAATACATTCTCCATTCCCTAACTCCACCCTATTTCTCTGAAAAGGAGTATAAGGAATCCTCCACTTGTCCACCAAGCTTAGTGACATAAAATTGTGTGTAGCACCTCCATCGATGAGTACATTTACTGTGTTTTCACCTTCATGCCATCTCAGTTTACCTGTCACCTTAAATGTTTTCACAGGGGTTATGTCTATCTCATCACTTAAAGAAAACTGCATGGTCTTCAATTCTAGAGGTGTGGTCTTATCCCTGCCAGATTCCAGTAATTCAACTTCAGAATCAGCTTCACCCTCTGAATTCTCCACTAGGATCATTTTATAGTTCCTCATCTTGCAGACATGTCCTCTTCCCCAATTTTCACCACATTTAAAACAGAGTCCTTTCTTGCTTCTGTTTAATAGTTCTTCTTGGGATAGTCTGGGACTTGCCTCATTAGATACGCAGCTTGGACCTTCTTTCCTGCTTTCATCTCCCCATTTCTGGCCTGAATATTGGATGATAGGAGTAGTCTGCCATTTCCTCCTTCCTTCATCCTTATTTTTCACAAAGAAAGTTTCAGAATTCTTGTTCTCAATTGCGGATGCAGTATCCATAACTTCTGCCAACGTCCTAGTTCGATGTAACTTCAATTCTGCTCTTATATCTCTTTTCAACCCCTTAAGAAAGGCTCCTCTCAAGACTTCTTCAGTTAAGTGGCCTTGTGAAGCGATAGCCTTTTCAAATTTATTTCGGTATTCCTGAATTGTCCCCTTCTGCTTCAGGCTAAACAGAGGCCCTAGTGGATCCTGTACCATATCAGGTTGAAATTGCTTGGTCAAAGCTTGAGTAAAAGAGTCCCAGTTTTGATGCGTAGCCTGTCTCTCCCACCATTGAAACCAGCTGAGAGCTTGATCCTCCATGGCCACTACAGCGACATCAATTTTCTGTTCCTCTTCAGTTTGATTCAAGCGAAAATATCGGTTCATTCTAACCAACCATCCAGAAGCATCTTCTCCATTAAAAATAGGTAAGTCGATCTTTCTACCTGTATGATGAGGATGACGTTCCCTGTGATGATGGCGGTGTTGATGTCGACATGGAGGAGAATAGTCAGAATTGCTTTCCGATCCCTCTGAACTTGCCGATTGTCGCGAACGATGATGGTGAGAAGTGTGATGCGATGTAGATGTGTGATGCGAGGCAGATGATCGATGCGACCTACTTCTTGATCGATCTGTTTTTTGATTTTTTAACTCGGCAAATCCAGCTTGCATCATCGCCAACAATTCTTCGTACTTCGTATCGATCTTCGCACCTAATTCCCGCTGACCTCGCTCGACGTTCCGTTCCATTTCTGCCATCCTGCCTTCCATTTTCTTCCTCGTGCCAACCATTCACAACTACAACCAAGCTCTGATACCAATGATAAAGATGTACAGTAATATAGAAGATTATAGAAGAAGATTCAAGAAAACTAACTGCAATTTTATTAGAGAAGAAGAACAGTAATTGTAACCAATGGCCGAAGCCCCCAATTGAGCCGAAGCCCCCCAAAAGAAAGAGAATAGCTCTCGATCTTCCCAGGTCCCAGAATGATAAAGTCTAAAACAGCCTCCTAAATCTCCCCTGCTATCTTCTATTTATACTAAACTTGTACACTTTATTCTTATTAATACTCTAATAGGCCCGGTCCTTTATTCTTAGTATCTATAGGCCCGGTCCCTAACAGTGGTGAACTTGTATTGATTTTAGAATGTCAAGTTCTAGTAAATTTTAGAATTCCTAAATTTTGAGTTTTTATATAATTTTCGGAGGCTCAAATTGTTTGTCTTGGCAGGTGCTTTTACTTGGCAATATCCTACAGTTTTGCTGGAAAGAGGACTGAAGCTTATGCCTTGTTCTCTCGAGCTCGCTCTTTAGCGGATGATGCATTGAAGAAACTTTACAACACGAATATTAATGATCAGCCAGGTATATGTGCAATTGTTCATTATAACTAATTTGCACCGCATTGACTGCCTTTAATGCTATATTTTCTTGGATAATATATCATTGATGAATCCTTGCCCTACTTGATCAAGATTTTTTTTAAATGGCACATATGCTGTAATGTTCTGTGTTGTTATTGCCCTTGTCTTTTGGATGAATGGGAGATATGATTGATATTTTTTCAGTTCTTGGTCAATTAACTTGTGATTTGTTGTGCATTCTCTCTCTCCCCATTCACCCCCTTGTACCAAGCAGGTGATAGTCAATGAATTGAAAGTGTTATCCAGTGAGAGTAGATCCAACGGCTGTATAGAGCATGCAAGAGGAATTATGGAGCAAGAGAAGGCTTCAGAAAATCTCTCAAAAAACATATCAGCTACTTCATTAAGTGGAAATGAGAAAAAGGTTCTTCCTCTTGTAGAATGATGGTTTATCCCTTTTCCACATCAATTGTCCATAAAATATACAACCTGTATCTTACATGCACTTTCACTTGAAACCCTATTTCAGCTGGAGAAATTTCTTATGGAAAATTGGACTGTTACGAATCTGCAGTTGGCGATTATTCCAACAACAGGAAAGCAGCTTCTGCTCGCATTGATGTCTTTCCACCTGCCTTCCAGGCAGTGCCCTGCAACCCAAATTTTCCGGATCCGGCATATGATGTCATTCAGTTCCCATCACTTGACAGTAGGATTAGAAAAGACAAAAAAGGCGGCGGTAGCACCAGCTTCCTTGCCAGATTTTGGGGTTGAGTTCGCCGTATCTCTCTGTCATCCCTTTAGTTTTGGATTGGGATCGAGTATTATTATTTATTTATTCATGCAACTATGCAAGCCAGAATTTTCCCTTTCTCCAACTACATACAGGTATACAGCTTTGTTTATTTTCTATTTTCCCTTTCTCCATCAACAGAAGTTTTTGTTGCTTGTTTTTTTAAACAGGATTATTGTAATAATAAATGAGAGTTTTAAGTTCTGTTTAACTTTGATAAAACTTAAAAGCGTGAACTTTTGGCATTTTATGGTTGAAGTTGATACTTTTTGTCCAACCAAATATGAAGAACGGATGCACTACTAAAGTATCTATGAGAAAGGCTAAACTGAACAGAGATTTAGCCAGATGATAGCCGATAGGTGATTAGCTCAATTGGGATGTAAAATAGAGCTTTGCTGAGAGCCTGAGACGAAGAAATCAAATTTTGAAGAGTGCAAAGCTTGATCTAGTTTTGGAACTTTTTGGTGCATATATAGAGAATGAGTTTGACCAATTATGTTTCATTCTTCTGGGGATTGTTTGCTTCAAGGAAGGTTGTATTAGCGTTTTTGGAATGTTAAATTGATATATTACCACGTGTCATTGTTTAAATATGATGAATATAGTTATTTTGAAGCTGAAACCAAAGAAATGTATGCCAAAATGTTCGTTATTGTTCCTCCAATGGCTTTATTGTACAAAATTTTGAGTTAGTTTTTTAAAGGGAAAGTCTTGCTTGACTCTCAATTATTCATCGTATAGATATGTCAAACTCGTGCTTCTGAGGTTTTTTGGAGACTCACTTGTGCGGCGGTGGCGGGAGATGCCGGAAGCAATAGTGGAGGAGTGGCTGCTGGCGTGAGAAGAAAGTAAAACGCCGAAGTAGAGGAGGGACCGAGGGAGGGCTGGAGAAGTGCTGAGAAGTGCTGGAGGGGAGGGCTTCTAGCTAGACAAAATTATGGATAGTTAGGTCATTTTAATTCTAAAATGGTCACTTTTTGCTCAAATGAAAATTGATTGTCTATTCAAATTCCATATATAATACTTTTGTCATTCTTTAAGAACAAAATAAAAGAATATTTTATTGAAAAAAATGATATTACTCAAGTGCAAATTTTACATTACCCTAAGGTACGGTACCTTCATTATGTGGATCTGGAATTATTAGAGGATTAAGTTGGTGATGTGCACTAGTTTTTTGGGATCACGATTTGGTGATGAAGATTATTTGGTGCGATTATTTGACAAAATAATTCAGTATTGAAATATGAATTCAAATTATCTCAAGATTATTGTGAATCTAGTATTAATCAGTGAATGCAGGACCTACAAAAGATCTGATTATTTTGAGATGATGAATGATATAATTTAGATGGTGTGAGATTATTTTGAAAAAATATACGTATCATTAAAAAATATGTTTATTTAAGTAGTATGAATGTGAATATTCTTAGAATATTGCAATTAAATAAATTAAACATCTATAAATAAATAATGAGTTGGACTAATAAATATTACTCCCTCCGTTCCTAAATAAACTTCCAACTTTCCTTTTTCGTCCGTTCCAATTAAAACTTCCACTTTCCCTTTTTGGTAAAGAATTTGTGGTTCACAACATTTCTTACACATTTCTCTCTCCTCTGCACAACTCTCCATCACACAATATCCACTATCTTAAACTTTGTGCCAAACTCATTTGGAAGTTAAAATGGGAACGGAGGTAGTACATTTTTGTGAAGTCTCCTAGCTTTCATCTTAGATTCGTAGGTACCATACGCTTACACAAAACTGAATCCCAAAACCTCTTTATTCTTTAACCCAATATTCTGGCCTGGCTCTAATTTTTCACGGAGCACTGTTGCAAAACTTACGCTTTTTAGTTTTGTACCATTTTCTTTAGAAGAGGGGAATAGCTTTTTAAGATATGTGCATTTGGTCTAAGATCTCGTAAGATTTAAAAGATTTTTCTGTTTCAATAAACTCATGGCATTCAACCGGACATTTTGATAACCTGATAACATTCAATCATGTCTTTAGATATTTATTATTAAATAGTGCCAAAAACCCATATTCACTACTCAATTGTGATTTTCTTTCTATTTGAAACAGTTTTCTGGTATAGATTTTATTACGGATAAATTTTTTATTAGACATTTTTCCATCTTAACATTAGTGAAATAAACTGAAGGTAAAATGTTACTATAATTGCTATGATTATACCATTACAATCACTATAATGTAAAATAGACATTATTATAATTACTAGAGCATAAAAAATACATTTTTTTTACTACCTTCAATTCTTTAGTCATATATACTGGTGTTTATTGGATTTTTTTTAAGGTGGATTTTATGAGAATCCAGCACAACTCGCGCAATCTTCCGTTGTACAAAAAAGAAGAGCAACTCGTGCAACACTCTTATTTCTGCTCAACGAGCTTTTGGACTTTTGTTTCTTTGACTCATTTTTTATGACTTCTATTTTGTCCTCAGCACATTGTACCAACTACCAATTCACTAATTCATCCATAAAACTAAGTCTTCTATATTAAATTTTATATTAATAATTAAACTAAATTTACATATTTAAAATATTGCACTATGAAAATTCATTGAATCTCAAAAAGAAAGAAGAAATTTAAAATCATAAAAAATTGTTATTAGAACAGAGAGAAAAATGAATGATAGAGTATGTAGACTCGAACCCCTAATCTTATGAGTATTTGGCTGGAAACTCACTTCTTATGATTTTTGTGGTGTACTTCCTAAGTTCATATTGTCATTGAATTGGAAGCTAGGTATAGAAGCTAAAGAACACTCACATTTTAAAAGGTTTATGATTTGGTGAGAATGAAGAGTCAAGGAAAATCTTGAATGCCAATTATTTGTAAAAATTATACCTAGATCTCTATAAAAATGGGATTGAGTTGGGTTGTTCACAATTTTTAATTTTTACCTATGAGTGTGGGCGGGTTTAGCTTGCCCACATTGTACGGGTCATCTAACATGTTTAATTTATACACACCAATTAGTGCAGGCAGGATAATGACCTCAGCTTCCCGACCCAGGGCACCTGTGATTTTTTTTGAATTACCGAAACATTTAGATTGATTTTAAAATAATCTCACAACTTCTTAAAAAAAATAAATTAGTTGAATAATGTAAATGTGGAATAATGTAAATGTACCGGGTCGAGTTAAAAATATATGTTCAAACCCGCTCATTAGAATTGGGCTGGACGGGTAGAATGACCAGTTCTGTATTTGCACATGTCGAGAACTTGTACTACCCACCAGCCCACCTAAATTTTCCTTCATTGTTTGGTTATGACTTATGAGTTATGACATAGAAATAAGCTAGCCATAAGAGACGACCTAATGTATAGGGAAAAAGGAGATGGAGTGTTGCATCTCCTACTACAAACCCTAAATTTGTGGCACATTTATTTTTCCTTTGCCCAATTGCTAACTAAATTAAAAACCTTTAATTTAATTTGTTAGCTCTGTTAAACTAATTATGACTATAAAGCAACATATATATGGCCTCCATACATGTTAAGATTGACTAATTAGTTATTGTCAAAAAGAGCATATGACCTCCATACATGTCTCCCGCTCCGTCACATGGAACCCAGTCACCGCTATAGTAGATTAGTAGTATCTAATCTCAAAAAAAAAAAAGATTAGTAGTATCTAATCTAATCACATAAAGGTTTACCTTTCACATTATCGTAATCCTAAGAAATATATAAATAATAATAATAATAATAATAATAATAATAATAAAGTATGACCGACCAACTCTGATATGGAATTAGGATCCATGATGTTTATTTATTAGGAAAAATTGCCCGGTAAAAATGTTTGTGTATTTCAAAATAGGATTATCATTTTTTATTCTCTAAATAGGAGTAACTATCGTTATGTTTCGACAATACCAGACATTATATATGACAATATTTTTCAAGCTTGATAGTAATTACTCATATTTACAGAATAAAAATATGACAATGCTATTTTGAAATTTTCAAACGTTTTTGCTCCTGGGAGCAATTAATTATCAAACATTCTTACTCTTAGGGGGGCAATTAATTATACCAAGACTCACCACAAAGGGACTGACATTGATTATGTGAGGAACTAGAGGACAATTAATATCATTAATTAATAAATTAACTATAATAAGGGTATACAAGTAGCCGTAATGTTTAGTCCTACTTAGCAAAAATAAATCATATGTCTGCACAAATGTTACTCGGTGTGTTTTAGTGGAACAATTTTCTCATCCCGCACAAGTAGCTCAGTTATTTCAGTGGTGGGAAATTTGGAATATTGATCAAGGTTCCAAACTCGCAGTGGGCGTGTGGAGCTTACAGCTCCTACGTGTTGGGCTGAACCTCTGGTGCGCACGAGAATAAGGCGAACCATCATTTGACCAACCGAGTCACCGTGACTTACATCCTCCTAAAAATCTTGTTGGATCGGGACGTGGGGACACTTAAAATTGGGGATTCAACCTTTTGGAACTTTGAAGCAGTGGAACAATTTTCTCTTAAAAACTGCTATCATGCATGGCTGATCAATTATTTAATTTGCACTGTAGGCCCTCTAGAATCCTGAGATTTCGAATCAAATATATCGATCATAATCAGTCCATGTCTCTTTTGAAATGTCTTTCGCATGAACAAAATTATGTAAATATATATATGTCTTGTTATTATGAGTACGTGCGGGGAGTTTAGATCTGTTCTTTCGCAACACGCTTCCATCCTAAATTATATTCCGAATTGTTTAATCATCTATTAGTACAGTTTGATGTTTTGAAAAATGTATGTTGAGACAAATTTAAACAAATAATTTGTTTTTTATATTATTAAAAAGTTATTGTCACAATAATATAGAGAGTATAACAAGGTTAAAAATAGGTGTTGTACACCCATGCGTTGACGAAGTCTCAAGAAATTATTGAGTGGGCCGTCAATTTGTTTTTTCAAATAGATTTTACACAAAAAAAATGTCCTAAAAATAAATGTTGATTATTTTAATACATGAGAACCCAAATCTACACATCAGACAACATGTTAGACATTACTATCATCAGAAAATTGCCCTTCATAAGACTAAATCATATGAAGTTTACAAAACTAAGACTTGACCATGTTTTTTTCATCCGTATGATTTATTTTGCTCTATTTTAGCAAATCTTATTGTTACCTTCCAATTTTACCCTTCACTCTATTACTTCATTTTAATAAAAACTTCCTCAAATTCATCTCTCCAGCCTCATCTCTCTCACCAAATCACAACCGCTTCAAATCTCCAGCTCGACTCTTCTCTCTCGCCAAAGGCATCGCGAGCACAGTCGCTTCACATCTCCGGCTCGAATCAATTTTGGACGGATACATTGATCTGCTACCTTATGGCGCACCTCGGCTATGAATTCTTCTACTGATGAATCGATAACTACAGTTCCACTAATACTCTGATTTTCGGAATACTGATAGAAGCATTCCAGGGCACCACAAATAGCCACGGGCCTAGGGTTGTGACATCCAATGTTCTACCAATTCAATTGACCTTTTGATTAGAAATGACCTACATAAATTAATCGTGGAGTTTCTCGACAGTCTCTTGAGGTAATATGATCCTTGAATATTGAGAACTGCATATATTGTGATTTATGATGCCTCCTCTGCTATAATACTTTTATAAAAATTTATTGTTCATTTATTGACTATTTACCGTCTATGTATTGTTTGTTGT